AGTGTACATAATTATTTACAATAGATTGAAATACCATCTTTCACCACGTTTGTACCTGGTGACACTCCCAACAACTTATTTACAATAGTGGACGATTTGTTAGTTTTGAGATCGATTTGTTAGTTTTGGAGATGATGGGAATGAAGAAATGTGTTTTATCAATTTACCATATCACAATGAATTATGTGGCATTTTTATATTTGTATCCGCACTTAGCATTCTATCGCTACATCATAATAATCACTAGTCTTGGTATTTAGTCATATGAAAGTAATATTAAATAGAGATGCTGAGTTTACTTCAAATAAACAGTAACACGACAGTAAAAACAAAAGACCCCTAGGTCATTTTACGATTCACAATAACAAACGTGTCTGTGTCTTTACGATATTTAAAGCTTTTACCGTCCGGGTTCTACAAGTATTCCTTAATGTGGTTGATATACCAATACAGACTACTTAAACCCCGCCTATCGCAGATGCATAAAATTTATTCTTTTACAGCTATGAATAAAACTTTTTGGTTTAACTCCATAAAAAACCAACATTACATTATTTGATAGATACTTTTTCAATAAAAGCTACTGTAACAGATTAGCTATACTAGATTTTCTTAATAAAATTCATTCGTGTTAACCTTTTTTGATTAAATCAGATTGCGATCGTTGCCCTTTTAATCTTAATATACAATTGTAGTATATGGCGGCATCATTTTATGATTACTAAACTACACTTTAGTAAAATTTCTTAATTATTAGAGGAAGTATGACTATTCCTGCAGAAATTCAATAAACTCGCAGTCTGATATTTTACTCCTAACATTTTACAGACATATTAGCTATAAAGCAAACAAATTAAGGAATTGCCCTTTCTTCTTGGCGGCAAAATATACTTATATTTAGGTAACGATAACGGTTATAACTATACCGATTTTGGAACTATTATCAGTTTGTCAATATCAGAAGTACTTTTATTTGTACTACCGAACTTCCGAGAACTGTGCGTTCTCATATGCAATTTCAGATATGCTGAGATTTTCAGAACAAGACAGAATAAGGTATAGTTTGGATTGAAATGATTGCCACTTTATTTGAACTTAAGACAAAATAGCCATGAATGCTTGAAGTTGTAGAATTTAACTTAAGGAAGCAAAGGGGCTACGAATTAGTGGTTTTATTCCTACAAAGCTTTCCCTGTTATATGCATAGCAATGCTGAATATATTTACTCTTGATATTGAACAACACCTACCTTCCTATATATATAAATGACGTCGCTGTATGAAATTGACTTTGGTGTGCAGTCGCCAATATTACAGTGTTAGGCGGTATCTCAGTAACCTCGATCATTATTTAATCCGGTATTGTTTATCATTGTTTTGCTTGGATATGTTATGTTGCTAATTTTTTTGCATACCGGTATATATATAAACGTTGAGGTTTTTTTTCTGTACTGATGTTTATAGTGGTCTTTGTGTACATGTTGTTAATTCGCCGCTGACTGAGACAGATAAAAAGATAAAAAAAATAGTCAAGGTCCTTATGCTCATGTACCCGTCTTTAGTCAGCAACCTCGACAGGGATTGTCTTTTATGACTGTCCTAATGTTCTTTTTACTACTAGTATTTTGAGAGTTTGGTTTTAATGGAAAATGTTTGATAGACTATATTAAATTTATTTACAAGTAGTTTAGACTATTGGTGCTTTATTACTTGATAAATGGTTAGATTATAGTCTTTCGTTGAAGACCGCATACTTCTCGATAACATTCTTTTTTGTTCTTCTTTTTGTTGTTGATTTCCACTTTACATACTTGAAACCAATATCTGCTTTTATTTATATCAAATTATAATAGCGTGTCAAAGAATATTCACGCTTAAGGACAGTCAACTCAAATCTACTGATATAGAAATCATTCTGTTCTTAACTGTAATAAAGATTCAGTCCTCATACAGTAATGTTATGAACAGCAATGGAAAAACGATATACATGTATGGCTATATCATAAAGTATATTCCTACAGATGTTCGATACAAAACAAATAAAAAAATCATTTCAACATATTTTCAAACTGTACCTTAACGAACTAATTACTGTATATAAATCGTAGAAAGTCGTGAAAGCAATGATTTAACAATAACAGTACGATTATAACTTTTTTCAAGTTGAATCAACGAATATAAAAAATTTTGAAATACCATTCTTACACTGTACCAAGTCAAGAATATGACAGTTGTTATTCATTAGTTTGATGTGTTTGAGCTTTTGATTTTGCCATTTGCTTAGGGACTTTCCGTTTAGAATTTTCCTCGGAGTTCGGTATTTTTGTTATTTTACTTTTTATTAGTATCCCCATTAACAGTTATGTGTGAAATACATTTGTCGTTCAAATCATGCCAGTAGAATCATTATTCTACAATAACTTTTTTTTTAAATGGAATAAAATAATTGATAAATTATCTAGAATTGTTGTATAAGGTTATAAATTTTCTCTGAGAGTGGCCTGTTTCTTGATCAAAGGGGAGAGTACTAGCATATACAGTCTCTTGTATGATTATGCAAACACAGACCACATCTGTACTTTTTAAGTCCCTTTAGTGTCACTTTTTATGTCTTTGGATTACCAACACATTTGGCCTCGAGCGTACCAAGTGAATGTGATTCCAGATAAACATGTTTTTTGCACAGAAATCGGTATCATAAGTTTTTTTTCTACTATCGCTGACCATAAGTAACACAACTGGTGTCACATGTGGAGCGTGATCTGCTTACCCTTTTGGAGCACCTGATATCACATCCAGTTTTTGTTTCGGTTTGTGTTTCTCAGTCTTTAGTTTTCTTTGTAGTATTAAATGGAATGTTGTTCGTCGTATCGTCATATTTGTTTTTGTCATATATTTCTGCTTAACTAAGCTTGTTAGTCCCTCAATCAAAGTTGACCTAACACTGATTTGTCCTTGCTGTTTAAGTCCATTCATCCTGCAATCGACCTTTCTATTAAACTGATACAGGTGTACAGATAACACGAAGCGATATACGTATACTAGACGTATATAGTCTCCTGGTATCCTGCTTTTGTTGCGAGCGAACGGTTATGTCAAATTACTGTTTTACGTCACAGTTCAATTTGGGGTCCTCATTGCAGTCCGCGTTTAAGTCATGTCGATTTCTTTCAAAAACAAATTCAACGATTGGGATGGAAAAAAATGTACAAAATTAATTGCAGGATAAAGACAATAACTGTTTAGTGTCTTTAAATATTAGCTGTATTTGTACTCGGCTCGAAACAGGAGTAATAGCTCGCTGAAGCTCGCATTACACCTGTTTCTTAGCCTCGTACAAATACAGCTGATATTTAAGACACTAAACAGTTATTGTCTATATCAATATTTTATTATGGTTTTTTGCATCGTTATTGTGTAGCTTGCTAGGGACTGATTCGTTATCAGCAGTACATGTAGCTACGAGTATTTTTTAAAAACGGTATAATATTGTGGATTATTGTTTTGTTTCCACTGGTTTTTGTTATCTATCATAATGCTTTTTTATGACAAAGGGAGGGGTTAAGCGCTTTTCATGCACTGAATTTATACTTTATTCTGTTGTTAAACTTTTGTTAATTTTCTATTTTACTTAACTTTTTATTTTACCGATTGAGATATAAAAATATAGCTTAGTCCTTCTACCTGTTCATCTGCTTGACCAATACCAGGAATCTCATCAGGGGTTTTATAAACCTTTCCGAGTTTTTGGTCCTCAATGCTCTTCAATTTCGTACTTTATTTTTTGCTTTAAACGTTTTTTATTCGAGCGTCACCGATGTAGACGAAAAACGCGTCTGGCGTACAAAATTGTGAGTTGGTCTCTTTGATGATGTTTTTGTTTTACCATATGGTATGAACTGCGTCGGATACAAATCGACCATATGCAAGTGTACGTAAATGTATACATGTACATGTAGATGACTTTGATTGATTTTGGTACATTTAAATACGAAATTAAAGATGCATTTTGGTCTGTTTTATAGGGTTCTTATATCAACTCAATTTTCAAACAGTGACAGACTTTGCATAGGGATTTTTTTCAACCCGAAATAAGTCAACCAATGTATTTACATTCATTTACATAATGTCGATTTCTATCCGACGCAGCTCATATATTAATATGTTTGGTTTTTGTTATTTGGACAAATGGATTTGACAGTACAAATAACTATACCTGTAATTTGTTTTATCACAACGACTTTCCTTTATTTTTATTTAAAACTTGACAAATTGAAAAGACGCCATTTTTTCTGCTCTGTTTGTTGATTTCTAAACGTCTTTAAGGTATTTGTGTCATTTGGTTGCTGTCCACTGACACATATCTTACATCGACTGGTGTTTATATCATGATTTGTATTTTACACAATTGCTCTCGCAATCAAGCGTACCTGAAAGTGGTACCAAATATTCTTTTTCGTTACCTTTTTTGCTAACGGTAAACATCTGAAAGAAGTTTCTTCTTAGAAATGATACTTTTGAACGGAGCTATTTCCTATTTTTGCCATTTTTACCTGTTATATATAAGAATAAGAAGATGTGGTATAATTTCCAACGAGACAACTCTCCACAAGAGACCAAATGACACAGAAATTAACAACTATAGGTCACTGTAAGGCCTTTAATATGTCTGTTTGTTTTGTTCATTCATTGTTGTCAATATAATGGAATTCTATGCGACTGTCATATAAGTGAGAGATTTAGCTAGCTATAAAACAAGGCGGAATCCATCCTTTTCGATTTTAGGAAATGTCTGTACCAAATCAGGAATATGACAGTTGTTTTCCATTCGTTTGATGTGTTTTAACTTTTGGTTTTGCCATTTGATAAAGGACTTTCCGTTTTTTTTATTATTTTACTTTTTACTTATAATTTTTTATTAATATGTGATTAAAACACTTTATAATACTATATATACGTTTGATGGAGTAGTGAAAAGAAAGCAAGACCATCACGAAAAAATCAAAATATGTATGGTTTATTGTATTTAATTACAGAAGTTCATTCCGATTATGATGTATATGGGTAATTTCACCATGCTTTTTATCCTCTCCATGCGGTCCATGAATGTGCAGGCTTGCTCCACGATGACCAAGATGACCACCCTGAATTATGTCCATGTCCACTTACTGACGGATATTGTCCAGCTAAGATCTTCGATTTAATTTGCTGTTTTTCTAAAAACAAAAAGCAGAAGTTGCTATAGATTTCATATATTTATGAGGGTATGGATGAGAGTTTACAGAATAGAGAATAATGGGCAAAAAATATAAAGAATAGAGAAAAATGAACTAAAAAAAAATAAAGACTAGAGAAAAATGGACTAAAAAAAATAAAGACTAGAGAATAATGAACTAAAAAAAATAAAGACTAGAGAAAATGAACTAAAAAAAAATAAAGACTAGAGAAAAATGAACTAAAAAAATAAAGACTTGAGAAAAATGAACTAAAAAAAACAAAGACTAGAGAAAAATGAACTAAAAAATTAAGACTAGAGAATGATGAACTAAAAAAAAAAAGACTAGAGAAAAATGAACTAAAAAATATAAAGACTAGAGAAAAATGAACTAAAAAGAATAAAGACTAGAGAAAAATGAACTAAAAAAAATAAAGACTAGAGAAAAATGAACTAAAAAGGCAAAGACTAGAGAATAATGGGCAAAATGTATAAAGAACAGAAAAAAATGGACCAAAAAAAGTAAAAAATAGAGGATAATGAGGTGCTGAAATATAAAGAATAGAAACATGGGCAAAAATTATAAAGAATTGAGAAAAATGACCTAAAAAAATTAAAGAATACAGAAATGAAGACCCTCATTTATTATATACATGTTAAAGAAAGATAATCTACTTGAAAATACACGATTCAGACGACTTTCGAAAGACACACACGATCTGGTGCCACAAACCCACAAACTCTCTTAATATTCGTTTTAAGGGGAAATGTCTCTACGAAAACCTAGCAAAACTATACCTTATTGACTAATTGTTAATGCTAATCTAATGCAATTTACAAACATGCTTTTTTCCTTTACTTTCATTCTTATTTTGTGAAATATTTTAAGGAATTTAAAATGGATACTATAAATCAGAGTAGCATAAGTAATGGAACAAAATAAGCTAAAACTATTGATAGGTTATGGAACTCCTTTTCTAGATATTTCTTTTAATGGCGGAAAAAGGCTGATTCGGACTTTTACCTTATGTTTAGCATTGGCATTATTCGTGTCTCAAATCGTAAGAAAAGAAATCTAGAATTTTTTAAAATTTTGGTAATGACCTTTTATGAGCTATTGAAGTCTTCTATGAAATGAAATGTGGGTGATATGGGCAAAATGTTTTACCCTGTATTGTAGAAAAAAAAAACATAAGGAGTCCGAACATATGACAACAATTCCTAAACCTGAAATGACTATATCCTTAATACGCTTGAGTTGGTTAATTAATATCGATACTTGATACGGATGACTGCTTTGTATTTAGTTTTCATCAACATTCATTTTGGATAGTATGTGAAATATTCAAATATGTAAAACAGTACATTTTTAATCAAAGCTTAGTCAGAACTTTGCTTAAATCTGTATGTTATACTAGATATAAATAAGAAGATATGGTATGAGTGCCAATGAGACAACTATCCATCCAAGTCACAATGTTTAAAAGGTAAACAATCATAGGTCAAAGTACGGCCTTCAATACGCAGCCTTGGTTCAGACCGAACAGCAAGCTATAAAAGGCCCCAAAAAGACTAGTGTAAAACAATTCAAACAAAAAAACCAACGGTCTAATCTATATAAAAAACGAGAAACGAGAAACACTTATGAACCATACCAACAAACGACAACCAATGAACAACAGGCTCCTGACTGCTTTGAAGTAAAACTCTTGGTATTTGGAACCAAATCAATTTTCAGCGGCAATCATCATACTATTTTTGTGCATATTTATGCAACGAGCGAATATTTAATAAAGAATCGAATGCTTCTTTTTGTAAATTTATTGGGGTGTAAAAGCGTTGACCGATATACATTTTGTATGAAGTGCGGAAGCACTTCATTCTAAAAATGTGCACACGGTCAACGCTTTTACAATCCTATAAAATTTCTAAAAGAAGCATTCAATACTTATAATAGCATTTGTTTGCTATGATCATGAAAACACGATTTCTATCAAGTTTTTCTTTTATTTACCTGAGTACTTTATTTAATTCTGAATACTATTTCAATAGAAACATTTAAAAGTTATTTTCATTAATAACGACTAAGTAAAACTTTATCCATATATATTTGTCTTTAAAAATGTGTGTGCCCAACTGCAAACCTTCTCCTACCCAACAAATACACAAATAAATGAAGCAAGACATGAAAAGAAAGAATTCACTACGGACAAGTATCTTTAAAAATGCCCTTCATTTTTTAATTTCATAGAGTAAGAATTTTTATATTCTTAAACATGATTGTTCAGTGTGGGTATAACAGAATATTGGATAACAAAGACACATACATTCAGATTTCAAAAACATCGAATACTTACGTAGAGGTCCTATCTTGTAATTTCCACCTCCATAGCCGCCGCTGCCACCAAATATAACTTTGATAACACCTTCAAATCAAACGGAGTCTCATTATTTTATGTTCAGATATTGTCTATTTAAAGCACGTGATTATTACACATGAATAAGAAAGTAACTCGATGTAACGTCAATGTGATAGCAAGGTCTTAACTGGGCAAGTTTTAAATCCTTTTTGAAAAAACGTGGATCGAGTTGGTAGGTTTGAATGAGGCTTACTGAATTTGTTTTTCGGTGGCGCGACATAGTTCTCAATTTAATGGAAAATAATGGTTTCAACTCGAAAAATATATCGCTATCCTCAGGTGAATATAAACACAAGTGTGTGTACATTGATAGAAACATAAATGTCTACTGATTGATTAACTGTTAATTACCAACCATGTGTCCTATTTTGCTAGTCGGTCCTTGAAGACTTGAAGAAATATAAAGAACAAAACAACAATGGATGGCTTTGTTTATATTTACCCACATTTAAAACTAAAAAAAATAATTGTGTGGCTTTCAGTATAAAGAATATGATTGACAAATAACAATGGACAACAACAAACCATTTTTGCCGTCTGTTCCCGGTGTTCCATTTACTCCGTCTTTACCTGAAATATATGTTAACAGTGAAAACAACGTACTTTTACTCTGCCATGTTTGGCAAGAAAATCCGTGTACACTTATATTTATATAACCCTATATGTACATGTATAAGCTGGAATTGCTTTTAGAAATACAACGGTTTGTTTTGTATTTTACGTGCGTTTTTTGTTCTTGATTTTAAACACTTTAGATGAAAAACAATTATACATAGTTCAACATGCATTATTCTTAAACATATTTTTCTAAATCTGATGTTTTTATTTTAGTGAAACGTTTTATTAGGATCTTTCAAAAATTAATTGCAATATACATGAACATTTTATAGATCTAGAAATTGATACCTTTGACAAACTAATCTAGCGGAAACTATTCAAATTCAAATAGAAGATGTGGTATGAGTGCCTATGAGACAACTCTCCATCCAATTCACAATTTATAAAAGTAAACCATTATAGGTCAAAGTACGGTCTTCAACACGGAGCCTTGGCTCACACCGCACAACAAGCTAAACGGGCCCCAAAAATTACTAGTGTAAAACCATTCAAACGGGAAAACCAACGGTCTAATCTATATAAAAAACAAGCAACGAGAAACACTTATCAACCACATCAACAAACGATAACTACTGAACATCAGATTCCTGACTTAAGACAGGTGCAAACAATTGCAGCGGGTTTAAACGTTTTAATGGTCCAAACCTTCACCCTTATCTGAAACAATAGCGTAAAATCACAACATAGAAAGACACACTATAAAATATCAAATGTCTACAATTAAATATCAGAGTTGCCTACAATTTTTGTGCATTCATTGAGTATTTATTTAATAATTCAAAATATGATACTCTGTGTAATAGAAGGATTCATTTTATGTATATCTTACCATCTTTTCCATCAATGCCATTTGTACCAGGTTTACCATTTAGGCCAGCATGTCCAGTTGGTCCTTTGTCTCCAACAGGTCCTTTCCCTCCTCTTGGTCCAATTGGCCCTAAAAGGTATGTGATCATAACATTATGCTATATATTATATTTCTATATGTAATTTTTTTCTTTGTTGACATCTTTGTTTGTTTTTATAGTGATTAAGATTATAACACAATGTTGACTGCTGTACCCTTATTTTTGACATTTTTACTTATACACTCGTGTTTGTTTTGTTCACACATTTTTGTCAATATAATGGAATTAAATGCGACTGTCATACAAGTGATAGGTTTTCTAGCTTTGAAAACAGGTTTAATCCACCATTTTCTACATAAGGAAATATCTGTACCAAGTCAGAAATATGACATTTGTTTTCCATTCGTTTGATGTGTTTGGGCTTTTGATTTTGCCATTTGATAACGGACTTGTAATTAATTAAGCATTTAGGAAGGAGAAGTTTATATATAACTACAGGCAATAGTAGTATATCGCAATAGTCATAAATCGATTTAACTGAAACAAATCCGGGTCACAAACCAAAACTGAGGGAAACACATCAACTATAACATGTATAAGAGGAAACAAAACGGAACAAAAAAAAAACACACTGAACTGCTACAAAAACAAACGCCAACATACATAGAAACGGACTATGTGATAACAACTGTCATATTCCTGACTTGGTACAGGACATTTTAAGAAAAAATGGTGGGTTAAACCTGGTTTTGTGGCTAGCCAAACCTCCCGCTCATATGGCAATGTTACAAATACCCGCTAAAATGACAACATTACGTGACAGGAATAGATTACAAATAAAGACAAGAACATTCAGGACAGAGAAATACATAAATATATAATATTATTATACATTTCAACATGTAAACCGCAGAATAACAACGAACACATAAAATTAATTTACGACAGAACACAAATATAGCATAATAAAATAATGAACTATGAGTCACATGAATGTATCAACACCACAAAAAGTGACGTCACAGGTAAATTTCTAAAAATAGAATATAGAATTGGGATTAAGTTTGTAATGGTGTTATTTGATGTATTTTAACCATTACAAGAATATTAATATAGAATTGTGTTAGTAATGGTGTAATTATTTGTATTTTGTAACCATGTCGGTTTTTCTTCTAAATCAAACTGTTTGAAAACAAATAAATCCTGTGCATATAGTTGCTTGAAACTAAAAATCATGTAAATGACCTAGGTGATTAATATCTTTTCTTTTACATACATATAGAAAATAAAAATAGAATAAAATCACAAACAATAAGACATAAAACAACATCAAACCAGAATTAAAAGTGAAACTTCATAACTAAATACATGAATGTTGGATACACAAATACCGAGACACGTCTAATAGCAATGATAATTTACACTTAGCAAAACAGTCATATTCGGGAATAGGTCACGTTTGGTACTTAGAAGACCAGACGACGTAGATGGTAAACCACAATGTAAGACGTGGTAAAAATGTCGTTAGTTTGTTCAGACACAGACACATCGTATAGATCAACCAATTCGTGATGGTGACCATAAAATGTACGGAGTGTCATTTTTAATCTTTCCTTCTCATAACTCTGTTGGGGCAGTTTCTTCGTAAGGAGCACACACCTGAATATTATGTCCGTATAGTGTGAACATGCACGAGCATAACGTATCAACTGAGATATGTGGGGCAGAGGGTATGTTACTGCTGAGAAATGGGAAATTGATAGTTGGGAAGTGGAAATCGTCCCGTTTGTCATAGATTTTTGTGTGAACATCTGTGTCAATATTGAGGAAAAGATTAAGGTACGAAGCAGTCATTCTAGTATTAGTAGTATCGTTAATTTCAAGTTCACCGGGATATATGAGATGTAAGTACTGGCTGAAATATGGGTAAACATGTATAACAAACCAGCTTAAGCAAAGTAAATAAGTTTCAAATTATTTACTTAAAACGATGCAATGAAGTAGAGAAGTAGTCATTACCAAATTGAGAAGTCTAACTAAAGTGATCTTTTGATTATTTCAAAATTATTATAATTAGAATATTAAAAAAAAACTTTTCTGATACAACATATATTATTAATATTATTATAGTATTTGCCTCGATTGGTTTATATCTTTCAATAATATTTATAAAGTGTCTTGACTGTTTACATTTAATTATACTGAAAGGGTTGAAACATGAGATAGAAATTATATATCTTTATTAGGATACTTTACTGTCTTTTGGATTTAATTTAGGTACATTCCTTTCGAATACAAAGGAATGTAAATAATATCCTTAGTATCACGGTCTTTTAGATCAGTGTTTTATGGCGTATGCTGTAACGTATCTAAATTACATTCTGTCATAAAAATTTATTACCAGTCTAAAGAGTCAGAAGCTTTCGATTTCATACAAATGCGTTATATTTCAAGCTGGCAACATATTATCGTTTCTGTCATTTATTGTGGTCGATCTTCCGATTTTATTAATGCTAGACACAATGCTATGTATATGATGAGTTTTATTAATACAAATTTCGTTTTAAAAGTTTACTTTGAATATACCTCGCTCTCCAGGTCCACCCCTGTTTCCTGTATCGCCTGTTTCCCCTTTATCACCTCTCATTCCTTTAGCACCAGGCCAACCTGGACGTCCGTTCTTCCCTGGTATACCTGTAAAAACCAGTTACACAAGTCAAGGTGGTATACAGTTTTGTGATAAATTAATTTTTTAATGTTGTCATATGTAGGTAATCAAACGCTATGTAAAATTCTTTTTTGAAATTGTAAAATATCTACCTCTTCTCAACAAACACATCTAACAGTTAAGATTGTTTATTCTTTGTATTTGGAGACTAGCGCGTACGAGGTTAAGAAAACACAAGTTCTTCCTCAACGCAGGTGTACTATAGGTAAGCAACTTAATATGGAAATGAGAATGGTACATTGCTTACATTATTGGTTAAAAATAGGGATGTCAACGAGTACTCGAGTACTCGAGTATCGCTCGGTAGTACCGAGTATCAATTTCCAAAATGATACTCGACTAATCGGTTTCCTGTAAGAATGTTGTTGCTTTCTTGCTTTCTGAAGCTAAAACAACAACAACAACTTTTTTTGAGAGCACCTCCCGGGAAATTAAATATTAATCAAAATTGATAATAATTAAAATTCGATTCGAATGTTTGTGTTTAAATTTCATTTAAAATTCCTCCAAAGAGAGGTAGATATATGAACAAGAGCATGTTTCCAAGGCTTACACCTTTGGCTGATCTTAATTATTCCTCCACTTCTCTACCGTAAGAGTATATATTTTCTCCAGCAGGACTGTTAGTTACCTAACAAAGATGAGAAATAGCCTCGACCCAGAAAAAAGTATACAAGATGATATTTTTCAATAAGAACAAATTCGTTGCACCCTGTGTTGACCCTCAGAAAAGGATTAAGTTTTAATCATCACCCCTTTGGTGATCATTAAATGTGTTTTTTACGGTTACTGTTGTTTGAGTAATCATTTTTCTATAGATATTAATTAATTACTTGATTAGATTATTGTCAGATTTAATAATCAGTTCATGTAGTAAATGAACTATTAATTATGATATAAAATTCCTTGGACTATTATCTAGTCCTAAGTAATAATGTTGAGGGTTTAACGTTTATAATGCAACGACCCACAATATATAAAATGGATATAATTTTGTGTTTCCATTTTGTAAATATAAAATGCTTGACCGATCGAGTACTCGAGTATCGCTCGGTAAATCCTACGAGTACTCGATTAGTTTATCTTCACCGAGTTGACATCCCAAGTTAAAAGCGAACACGTGGAGAACCCATATATTGTATATGGGTTAGTGGGCGTGTTTAACTTTAATATACAGTTAGTAGTGGTGTTACGTTCCTTTATAAAAATACCACGGCTTTGATGAAAAATCTGAAACGTTTCACCCGAATAACAGATGCAGAGAACACATCAATAGCTATTAGTTGTTATTATTGGCATTTGGTTTTCTATTGACCAATGGAAGTAGGTTCTTAATATTGAAGAGATGACTTGATCACTTTAGTAGGCAAATAGTCTAAATGCCACATGTTAAGATAATCGGTAAGATAAATTCGTTACACAGTGTGCTAGTGACCTAATACGATATATAAATGGTTCGAGCTTCGCTCTCACCCAATATGGAATTTACTGACCTCATTTGAGCTTCGCTCTCACCCCATATGGAATTTACTGACCTCATATATATCGTGTTAGGTTACTACCACACTATGTAACTAGTAATGTCCATCTTCAGGTTTAAAGTGTTACATTTTAGATGTAACATAATGAAATATGTGTGTTTTTAAAATTTCAATGATATAAATGACGAGGTCGACGATTAAACTAACAATATGTTCTATTAAAACGTGAAAATAAACCTTATTGCTGATTTGTCATCCCTTTAAAAAGAAAATAGGACTTTATAATTCTTGTCCGTCCGTAGCGTTTTTCTGAATCAACCTTCATCAGGAGCGCTCAAACCAAAGCATTTGAAAGCTGAACATGAAAACTTACGAACAAGAAAAACAATATAGTAAATGATAAGTGTTAAAAAACTTTGAGACCTTTGTTAGAAATCTAAAACATGTTTGCCTTTTCCTGTTTATATTATTGATCGAATGTAATTTGTAATTCGTTAAAATATTTGTATTTACTCAGTTGGCATGCCAATACTGTTGTGTTTACTTTTTCGTAGGTCAAAAACAGCATATTGGACAGGGCATACAGCATGATACTGAAAAAACATTCTAGAAATCCCCAATTTTACAATGTTCATGCAACAGTTATTGATTAATAATATAACAATTGTAGCCTTTGGTTGAGGTCAATACGATGTTATATTAACCTCGGACTTCATCCTCAGTCCATATGCTTTTCTTAGTTCAATATAACCTCGTATCGACCTCTTACAAAGGCTATTATTGTATATATTAACTTGACATAACAATTGTATACGGTGATAGTCTGACATACACTAATACCAATAACTTTAGTCTCACTAGTTACTGTTTAGTTTGAATAACGAACAACATATTACTTGAAAGATGGACAAACAAAGCTATGGTAGCAACACATTAAATTTAAAACACATATAAAAAGCGTCAATATTATAAGTTTAGCACGTGTTTCCTTATGTTATAAATCATCAAATAAGGCTGTATTATTGCTAATGATTGATTAATTGTCGGTTGCTTAACGTACAGTGGAATTTATTTCATGCATGTTCAGGACGAGGTGATGAAAAAAGTAAAATGAAACTAATATTTGAATTGAATATAAATAAGGAGATGTGGTATGAGTGCCAATGAGATAACTCTCCATCTAAGTCACAATGTATAAAAAGTATACAATTATAGGTCAAAGTACGGCCGTAAACACGGAGCCTTGGCTCACACTGAACAGCAAGCTATAAAAGGCCCCAAAATGACTAGTGTAAAACAATTCAAACAGGAAACCCAACGGTCTAATCTATATAAAATACGAGAAACACTTATGAACCACCCCAACAAACGACAACACGAATAAAAGGATAAACGTCAAATATAAATACCTGGAGCTCCTTGGTGGCCAATAGGACCTTTATCTCCCGTTTCGCCTTTCATTCCATTCGCTCCAGGTTTACCATTAAATCCTGGACGTCCACGGTCACCTGTAGGTCCTTTATCACCTGGTGCACCTATATGTAATGTACATGATCAAATATAGTTTTTTCTACACCAATTCACTGAAAGGTCAACTTACAAGAGGTTTTAATTAGAATATTTTTGAAGCAAAATTTGTTTGAATGATATTCGCTTTCCCAAATTACTTAACTTCAAGTTTTTTAGGCTGAGGTTTCTATCGTAGATTGATTGATTAATTGATTGGTATTTCATGGCGGTCAGTTTTTATTGGTTGATGAAGCCGGAATTCCCGGAGAGAACTACCAGTCAATTAAGAAAGGAGTCGAGCGCAACTGCCACGTGCGGGATTCGAACTTACAACCTCATTGTTGACAGACTAGTGATACCGTAGTTTAACTACTTAGACCACTCGGCCACCGATTAACTTCATTCTAAGGTTTTGTTGCTTGTCCAACATAAATTGAGAATGTGTCAAGTAGAATGCTCCCTCTTGCATATAACGGTATAAAGTGGCGCTCGAATCAAAGCAGATTAAAGGTGAATTCAAATACGAAAAAGAGGAGCATTAAAATCGTAAATTCCAAAAATGTGTGCCAAATACTGCTAATAAAAGGAGAATTAATTTAATTATATTATGATAATACATTATATCGTGAAGACTCAAAATATTAGGAATTAAAACAAATGAAAAGGGTAGTACAACATGAAATAATCCTAAATACTTAAACAAAATTGCCAAATTGTTGTTATCATACACATTCAGTTTCATGAAAAGGGATTAGAGTAGGAAATGAAAAATATATGCCATCTTTCATCCTCATGTGTATTTCAACACTCTTCGATAAATACAATTACGATTTAGCATATTAACTTCTGCAAATAATACACGCTCTGATCAATCTAGTATTTACCTTTGAGTCCATCTGTTCCATCTCTACCATTATGACCAGGTATTCCTTTATTTCCCATTTCCCCCTTTGCTCCCTTACTTCCAGGCCATCCTATGAAAATTAAAGTATTTATTCTACATCCTTTATATAAGTTTGTATGAAATAAATCGAACAATAATATATTGATGAATACATTTGAATTGATGGATTTAGGCTCACGGTATGTAGGCTATATGGTTAACACATTTCGTAGAGAGCTGTAATTGACAATGTTCAGGTCATTAGAAATAATGCCGGATCATATGCGAATGGGAAACCAACAGAGGAACACTTAAGAGGATTTAACTTGAAGTCGTCAATATTGTTTTATGAAATGGTTTATTTTATTTTAGCTTCCTTCCCAATTTATTATGTAATACCATTTGAGTGAACTTACCAGGTCTTCCTGTGTTTCCGGTAGGTCCTTTATCTCCAGGTTGACCTTAAAACAATTGCAAATTTAAGTTATACAAATATGTAAAGTAAATATGTTCATAACAAGAAACATAAAGAAAAATGAATATATCCATGATATCTAGATATAAGTTTCTTATTACTTTTTAAAAAACACTGATGAAGTTAAATTTTTTTAACAATATTCAAAGAAATTAAAAATTTGACCTTATATTACGTATTTTCAGACGATAACAGACAAATTTAACATACACGAGGAAATCAGTGAGCTTACAGAAATCACAGAAAGCACATCAAATTATAAATATTGACATCAAAAGAATAATTGATTTATAAATACCATTTTGTCCGGGTGCGCCTGTGTCTCCTAAAACATGAAAATATAATAAACATTAGTTTTCATAGTTTTCACTTTTACAACTATTAAATGGAAAGATTGGACCATTAGCATGATTAGTTTGAGAACAAATATGGGGAAACAGTTCACTATATTCAATATAGTTCTGTGATTTTAAGATAGAAAATTATACATGCACATTATTCAGATCGTCATATATAATTTTATGGAGATTGTCTTGGTCCATCTTTAGTTTCTATGTAGTGCTTTGTACAGTTTACTGGTGTCTATCTGTTCGTGTTAACTAAAGGGTTTTTATTGCTTTTTGAGACCTTGTTACTGCATATCACCGAGCAAGTAAACAGGTCTCATAATGGTTTATATATGTTGTAAAATTGAGAATGGAAATGGAGAATGTGTCAAAGAGACAACAACCCGACCATAGAACAGACAACAGCAGAAGGTCACCAACAGGTCTTCAATGCAGCGAGAAATTCCCGCACCCGGAGGCGTCCTTCAGCTGGCCCCTAAACAAATATATATACTAGTTCAGTGATAATGAACGCCATACTAAACTCCAAATTGTACACAAGAAACTAAAATTAAAAATAATACAAGACTAACAAAGGCTAGAGGCTCCTGACTTGGGACAGGCGCAAAAATGCGGCGGGGTTAAACATGTTTATGAGATCTCAACCCTCCCCCTATACCTCTAGCCAATGTAGAAAAGTAAACGCATAACAATACGCACATTAAAATTCAGTTCAAGAGAAGTCCGAGTCTGATGTCAGAAGATGTAACCAAAGAAAATAAACAAAATGACAATTTGGTCTGTTATTATTTCTTTATTAAAGTACTTTTATAAATTCAGTTTTTTTTTGTTTTGTTTTTGATGTTATTTTTATGGGCATCTCAAAACAATTCTTGTTTGATTTAATTTCATTGATATGATAGGTTGTTTTTAAATAATATTCCCTCCTCACACGTACATAAGATGAACGTGTGGTGCCTTACTAAACATAGTATAAAGAAGAACTATATTATTCAATGTTTTGAAATGAACTTTCTATATACCTATAGGTCCTTTGTCTCCTGGTAGACCTGAAATGACAATAGTAAATGTAATAAATCTTCTAAATAAGCTAGCATCATGGCATTTAACTAAGACTGCAAAATATAACTAGCTGGCATCAATAAACCAAACATTAAAAGTGTGCAATATATATGTAAACATTAATATGTTAAATTAAAAAAAAAAATTCTCTGTCCTTTTCAATGTAAATTATTCGCTTATATGGAAAATCAGAAACACAATCTTACTTTGTACAGTCATGAATATGTCATTTATGAATACTGTTTTGTACTTAATCGAGTATATTTTTGTGTATAAATCATTTCTGCCACTGACATTACACTACACCGCCTATAGTTTTTTTTTGCATTAATTGTCCCAATAAACTTTATATATAGAAAATGATTTGTTCAACCAATAAGTCGTAAGACATTTGTTAAATCTGCCTAAATTCATATATATATATATATATACTGATGTACAATGCATGTATTTTGTTTAACAATATGTAAGTTATGACATTGAGGCGAATAAAGCCAATATGGGTCACCGGTTGTAGTTTATTATTCATTCATATAATACAATTATAATAGTGTGTAGATTACATTACTATGTTATTACAATCAGTATATGCCATATAAGCGGGAGGTTTGGCTAGCCATAAAACAAAGTTTAATCCACCATGTTTTCTTAAAATGTCCTCTACCAAGTCAGGAATATGGCAGTTGTTATTAAATAGTCCGTTTCTATGTATGTTGGCGTTTGTATTTGTTGCAGTTCAGTGTTTCTGTTGTTGCGTTGTTTTCCTCTTATAGTCAGTTTTGGTTTGTGTCCCGGATTTGTTTTCGCTTAATCGATTTATGACTATTGAACTGCGGTTTACTACTGTTGCCTTTATTAAACGAAACGCTCGTTTAAGTCGTATTTCCCCTTGCAGTTCATACAATAGAAGTTTTATTGTTGGTGTTTGTATTACATTGTGCAGTGCTTTGGGGATGTTGTGTGTCTTTGTGTCTTTTTTTCTTTTGTTCCTAGTATTGTCTCTTTATTTTATCATCTGCTTGTTTGATTGTTCCTTTATAAAAATAAGGAGATGTGTTTTGATTTCAAATGAGACAACTTTCCAAGTTCAAATGAAGTGGATATTAGCAATTATAGGCAACCGTAGCCTTCAACAATGAGAAACACACATATCTTTGTTTCTTCTACTAATTCTTTTTGTATCAGACAATATCCTTTGAGGTTTTTAAAATCGTGTTTACATGTACCTTGGATAAAAAATGAATAAAATCAAAATATCTTAAAAGGAATTATATTACCGTGAGAACCAGTCCTTCCTGTCGCACCTGAAATAAACATTGTAAGTTCTGGTATAAATAGTGATTCCAAATATAACATCGGTTAGATCTTGCACATTGAGTACTAAAATGCAAAGCTGCAAAGGAACCTGAATCCCACACCTGCATTCAGGGGTTGTTTAAAGGTAAATTACTTCATGTCGAAACTATAGACTTCTCGAAATCGGAAGCTGTTGGTTTACTGAGTTTATTTACATTATTGTATCAATATTTATATATAAATATATATATGTACCCCTGATAATCTATGTGCTGTGCGGTTTTGATGGTGTCTTTTCGATTATTTGCACTCAAGCGTTTAATATTTTCGGCTTTTCAAACTCTTTGTATCGAACATCCATGATGAATATAAGAATTAGGAAATATGGCATAACTACCAATGAGACAATTATCCATTGAAAACAAACAAAAATGTGAGTAATTACATTGAACAATTAACAAAACTAATACTGTAAAGGAAGCTCTAAATTGCACTTGGATGAAGCAATATGAAACAATAAAATATAGAAAACCATGGCCTGATTTGTACTGTTAGAATAAACGAAATCAAATTATGACATATAGCAACCAACAACTTTCACTAGATAACAGGACCTTGGCCAGTGACAGCCAGCAGAAGGATGTGGTTTAGTTTTTGAGCACCCAACGCTTCCCGCTAACAATGGACAGTGATATTTAACACAACGTAGGAATGAACATTACATAATATCTGGGAAGTACTTGGCTCATTAGTTTCAATACTAAGTACAATAACTTAAAACATGAAACAGGACAGAAAGAACCGACCATAGAGTATCCACTGATACTGATTTACTAGACTAAATGCAAAGCAAAATGTTAAAGAGAGGCGAAAGATACCAAAGGGACATTCGAAAGTCGAAAATTAACTGACAACGCCATTGCTAAAAAAGAAAAATGACAACAAACAATAGTACACAAAACACAACATAGAAAAAAAAATAAAGACTGAGCAACACAAACACCACCAAAAACTGGAGATGATCTTAGGTGCTCAGGAAGGGTAAGCAGATCCTGCTCCACATGTGGCACCCGTCGTGTTGCTCATGTTGTTACAAACCCGGTAATAAGTCTAAATCGGTAGGTCACATTCAAGGAAAAGTGGACGGGATTGTAGTTACGACATTTGGAACATATTTGCTATCATCTGTGAAACAGATATTCCATAACGGTCAACCAAATCGTGATGGCGTCCGTAAAATTTACGAAGGGATGATTTCAACTTCACACTTGAAACTTGTTAATTAACAAATAAAACATGACTTTTCACACCAAAATTTCAATTTATGTTTAAACAAGTTTAATAAAGACATTATAAGTTTGCGAAAAGCACGATCTTGTGGGATGCCAAAATGTAAACATCTGCCGGATAAAGAACCGTAAATAGAAAGCAACACAGGTGTAGTTTTCGGATTGCTTTAGTGTCTACTGTTGCTTGCCTTGTTGTCTTTTTTATTTGTCTAGTGTATTGGTTATTCTCCTACAATTATACAATGTGCTTATTATTCCCCCATTAGTATCTTTTTATATTTAAGGTATGGTTTACAAGATGTGAATATTTTATTTTCTATAATTTTGTGGTTTGTATTAACACTGTTTATTGCTCAATGTAATTTCCCATTTTAGCTTTGGCAACGAACATACAAAAAGTCATGTTATTCATCAAAACGATTAAGATACATTTTGTCCATAGTTTTGTATCTGTATGTTTGAGAAATGTAAGAACCATTTACACATTTAAGTTTTTGCTTAGTTCTAATTTTAGAAATAAGACTTGTTTTATATGAACAGGAATTCCACTTAATATTTTGAAAGCACACAATAAAATACATTCTAGTTATATGTATGTTTTCGACTTGTTGGTACAACAATTACAATTAATTCTCCATGTGCGCACTGATGACGACGCCCGTTGAAAAGGGTAGGTGGGTTTCCAATATTTTAGTCGGAGAAATTGGGTCTAATTTCTATACCCCGGAGTTCCATAGGGAGTCAACAGTAAACAGAAAAGAATGACGTCAGTGTTTGTAACATGTCAAATGGCAAAAGGAAACGTTATTTAATCACACATCGCTTATACAACAATAATCTTAGGCACTAGTTAATCAATTTTGATTTGTTCAGGTAAAAAAAACAAATACTGTAAAGTCTGAACATAGATTTAATAGGTCAGAATTGACCGCAAGCAAATTGTCTGAACAGTACTGAATTGATTGCAGACGATAAGTCTTAAATTTGATTGATATACTGAAAACTAATTATTAATTTGTTGTTCGGTCTTTTATAGCTGTTCAGATTAAAATTACCGTTTCAGATCAAAATTTGTTTACTAGTAAAGGGAAGTGCTAACATTCTTCTTTTTACCTGTTTACATCAAATGGACATTTTGAACGAATCAATGAAATTTTGTTTTCTCTCTTTTTGCAAGTTTTATACATTTTTCGGAACGTTATATTACTAAACACCAATTTGCATCAGTCACTAAAATGCAGAATGGACAACAGAATAATCAAAAACAAAATGGCAGCAATAATATATAAGATTCGAATTAGTGCAGTTTTTATGTGTTGTTTTTTTATGCCATTGTCCTATGTATGCCGTCAAAACATGTTATATCTTGCCAAGTTAATATTTACCTGTTTCCCCTTTTGCACCAGGTGCGCCTACAATTAAGAATATTCATAACTACAAATGATCAGTTTCTGAGATAAGCGAAAATATGCTATATTTAACTTTTTTTAGAACTTTTTTACTACCAACCTGTAAAGTTGTTTCATATGTGCATGATGTGAGCATGAACCATATAAGTTTTAAGAATTTTATTTGACTTAGACAGCAGTATACATTTGCATTACTCTTGTTATTATAACAAAGAAAACACAGATGTACACATGAAAATTAAATTATGCATTTATAGATTCCTAAATAAATTCTGTTTTCCTTAACTAAACATGTTTATAATTCTAAAAACGAATTTTCTTGATTGAATATTTTCATTGAATGATATGAAACACTTAAAAAAGAACACAGTACTAGAATTTAATAGCTTAATAATGATTTAAGTCATTCTTACCATCACGGCCTGGTATACCATTATCGCCTATAAGAAATATATAAGAAAATCAAATTAGATATATCGATATTTCCTTAAAGAGGGGGAGCAAAGCCATGTTACTTAATGAAACTAAAGTATAGAGAAAGTTTAAATCAAATGTCAAGACATTGTGAAGTTTAAATCAAATGTCAAGACATTGTGATGTAGATTTTTTTCTCTCTCAATGTATCACATATCATCACAAATACTTACACTACATACATGGTGTATCAGATTTTGAGAAAATATGATCAGTACATACACTCAATCAATATATTATAGATTTAAATTCATGTTAAACGTAATAACATGGCCTCCGAGTCCTTACCCATGTTTTAAGGTAAATTAGAAACGCAATTTAATGTTTGAAGAGTTTCCGGGGCTAGATATGTTTCAAGTATTATTTTTAAAGTTAACACTTGATTATTTTTGACATTTTTACCTATTGTGATTTTGTCAAATTCAACTTTTTGAATCGATACATAGATAAATACAGGTATTACCATATTTACGAGGGAAATGTTTTTTTTTAAATATTAGTATCAAACCTGTATGCAGATGGCATTGTTATTTGTTTTGGCTGATACTCATTTTCTTCTCTAAATATGCCGATACAATTTGCTCAGTTTGAAGGAATTGATCATGCAAAACATGTTCCCTCTCTGATGTCCCGCTCATCGGTCAGCATACAATGACTCGGGTTTGTACTTCGTGAAGAGTTATTGGACTCCAGAAAGATATAACGAATTTCCCAAATAATAATGGCTATTTTAAGAAATGTTGTTTGATGCTCGTTCTGCCGATAAAATAAAGCAGTAAAGGATTACGAGTTTGAATTTGGAGCCGACCCTTCAGACTGGTTATGAAGCTCGTCCTCTCAATGTGTTTTTCGAAATAAGTCGTTCTATATACAGAGATTTACTTACCACGGTTGCCTCTAAATCCTGTTGGTCCTCTTTCACCTAAAATAACGAATCACTCCATTAACGGTTAACACACAACCACCGTTGCAATCAATCCATTATTTTCAGAGATTTTAATGTGTTTTTATTCTTTTACTTTGCAGTTTGCATGCGTAGTTATTTCGATTTTGAATCATGATTAATATTATTGAAAATAGTCCTTATTGCTGAAATAACTTTTGTAACATCCTTAGTTTTAACCTTTCATTGTAAGTGTATTTTTTGTATAATAAAGAACAGACTTTTTATTTAGTTTTTCTCGGGTAACTACTGTAATACACAGTTCTATTCTTACCTGTTGGACCAATTGGACCCGGCCCACCTGCAATGAAAACATAAACCCAGTTTTAAGTATATATCAAATCGCAAATTGCATATAGTTCAAAACAAAGGTATTACATGTACTTCAATTACATAACATACATCAACACAGAAATTAACATCAGTAGACCGAAAGAAAGTTACATTTTTTAGTCCATCGTTAGAGACAATAAGGTATTGTATTGGTGTTTTGTTTGTCATATAACCAGTGACGGTGATCGTTTTTAATGGCGTCGGGGCATAATGTAACCATCTTTCCATAAAATCCAAAAGGTATGTACGATCATGTGAAATATTCAATCATTAAACGTTTGTTACTGCACGTAAGGAATATGATCATACTTTCCTAATGAATTAGATGTCAAAATATTATGTTAAAAATCTGCGCCTGAAAGATGAAAATGATACCCTGAACAGCTAAAAGTATTGTTGATTCTACCCAAAAAATAGATTAACGTAGCTGTATTTGGTAATGTTGTTTAATTTGAGGGCTCAGTGCTCTTTAACTTCGTACTTTATAGAAATTTTTAATTGTTTTGATTCGATCGTCACTGACACGTCTTTTGTAAACGAATCACGCGTCTGTTGTATATGTGAACGTTTAGGACAAGAAATATTTATACTAACCGTCAGCGCCATTCAAACCGGTATCTCCTGTAAGAAATAAAAACACAATTAAACATAAAATATAAATATTTCAATTTCAGATCAAATATAAAACCATTATACTAACTGCAATCACAAATGCATGCATCATAAGTCTTAGCACAAATTACAAAATGGGGCTGAAGTCGAATCAACCTTATGTGATGAGACCAGGTGCAGCTAGGGGAAATTAAATTTTAGTTATGCTAGTCGTTGGATTTCCTGCTGTGGTAGCTGTGGCCATTCCTGGTACTATGTGCTTCCAACTGACATAAGTTTAAAGGGGAGGTTCGACTGCCTGTAGATGACAACCTAACATACCCCAAACATGTTCTATTACATTCAAATCAGGGCTCATAACTGTCCAGGGAAGAGAAGTCACGGCTTCACCTTGAAGGTAGGCGGTTACGGCCCTTGAACCATGTGGCCTGGCGTTGTCATCCATAAACACAGGTCTTGCACCAAGTGGATGCGTCAATCTGATACATTATAACAGTTAACTATTGTCTTTCTAGAACAGGACTAGCTGGTAATAGCATGCGTCTAATTTTGAGATGCAGTGCCGTTTCTTAACGCCGCAAAGCTACAGGTGGTCCACCGGATCATGGCAAGTCTTTCATGGAGTTGGTTTCGATGTGTTTTCTTATAAGCCGGCTGACTACTGTATAGTGATAGTCCGTTTGACATCCAATAATTTAAAAGACATCCCTGATGACCGCATTCCGATAATTTGCCATCTTTGAGCGACCAATATTCGTCTTCGTACCATGTTCACAAAGAATGAATTCATTTATTTTTCAAAACGCAGGACCGAAATACTCAAATTTTAAATCTGGACAGTTGCATGATAGGTATGGTTCACGTGCACGATACCCCAATATCTTAAATACTTGTCGCAGCTGTATGGAACAATGGACGTGTTAAAATCAATATTTTCATTTAAATTAAATCCATGGAATCATACTACAAGTCAATATATCAGGGGTTCTGAACGTTTTTCTATGTGTATATATGCAGACTATAATACTTATAATCCTTGTATCTATTACCGATTAATGGTCAAATATTAATCATTTCTAAACAAGTCAATTGTGAAGTGTGTTCACAGCACTTAATGTTTGCCTTATACAATTTCCATGATCAGTTATGGTTAAAAACTATCCCTTGGTTGCATTTAGTGATTTTATCGTTTTTAAGATACAACAAACAACGAAAACAACTAATATATACCATGTCCCAACATTAGCCGAAATAGGTACAAGTTGCTGATGTTTCCATATTATCAAACTTTCATACATGTTGTTTTGATGAAACCTTCATGTTATTTAATTTTGATTGATTGAGCTCTTAAGGTTTGCGCCATTGATGTTGATAAAACAGGTTTTTAGTTCATATGCTGGACATTTCAGAGTTATTCGTTTTTTTGCTATCTCGAAAGCAAGGACAAACGAATCGACGACCACCATATATGCTACACCAAAATTGTAGGTGATAATGTTTTTTAAAGTTATACAGCTGTTCAACGTGAGCCCCTCTTGACGACAAAAATTGAAAAGATATATTTTACATACCTCTTGGTCCTTTATTTCCTATCGGACCTGAAAAGTAGTTACACGTTGTTTCCAATTGGAGTTTTATATACTCGAATATACAAATAAACAATATAAACTATGTATAATTGTCAATGAACCCAACAATTTAAAAAAAATGTATGCTTAACAAATCATAGTAATATTTTACACATTTCGTACAACATCTGAAACTAAACTGTGATATCCTATCCAATTTACACCGAGTCATTGGAAATACTGAACAAATAAAAGAAACAAAAATGACAGAACACATCACGCACTGTTTAAATTAAGACATTTTGATTTTATGCTTTGGAACGTTTTTGCATTAACTCCAAAAACCTTAGTTCATCGAAGGTACCTAATGAGTTCATTTCTATTTCGAGATCGTTGTCCTACGTTGATTGTTTTCAATGATTAAGCATCTGAGACTACGCTTGCAGAAAGACATTTTTCGGTTTAATTTAATTTATTTACGAAATTAAATTGTTTTAGTTTTTTTTAAATGAACAGTGTGCAGTTGATTTATTATTTACACAGTATTCTGGATTTGTTATCGCAAATGTATTTTAGAACGACAAAATCGAAACAGTCTTGTCCCCAATAAAATATTTAACTATAATCAATGGTACATATTAAACACAAGTCACAAATATACAGTTTTTACAATTCACATACCTTGCAATCCTGTAGGTCCTCTGTCGCCCCTTGGACCTACAAAATATTACGATTTTGTTTGTGTGTAATGCTCACCATTATATACTCAATATATTTTTCAAATGCAGGTAACTATGGTTCTGTTTTTGATTCCTTATAAATATTGATTTTAACAAATTTAATCAGATTTACCGAATATTTCTTTGTAGTAAATGTTTATGTTCACACATTTTTTTCTAACTTGAAAGAATATTACAGTATAATGTGCATGATATCTGCACATCAATCAATTACTTTTATAGCTACACTGGATTCTTTCATATAAAGAGTAAAATATATCAAATAACACTAAATAGTAAATGGCTCAACGAAAAAAAAAAAAAAAAAATTTAAAGACAATATACATATTGAAAATTAAAAAAATAAAACAAGCATGACACCACGGTAAAGGAAAAACATAATTTCGATTTAATAAGCGATAAAAGTGAGGCGAAAGATACCAAAGGCACATTCAATCTCATAAGTCGAAAATAAACTGACAACGCCATGGCTAAAAAAAGGAACAACAGACAAACAACAGTGCACAAAACACAACATAAAACACTAAACGATTATTGCATTATAGACGTATCAATATTGAAGAAAAAGGATGCAATAATCCACAGATAAGGAAAAATAAACTGCATTACAAAATAGAAATGTTAACATGCATGAAGCTACATAGAAAATTGTGATTACTAGGATTAACAGGCGATATTGAAAAATATGATGTCATTTGTAAGGGCCTAATTAAACGGGCTTGACTTTCATTTCCAGATAATGTATTTTTCCTCCAATCGTCAATGAATTGAAACCTATATCAAAGGGTGTGTATCGTTATGACAATATCCTACGTTATTTTACTGGTTGTTGTGTGGTATATTGACTTGTCTGCTTAATTTAGAAAATATACTAAGAGCATACCATGCGAATCAATCAGCTGTTTGTAGAAAATACGCGAAGAAACGGTTCAACATAAAGCATTCTATCGCATGTGTTATAGAAAAAATATTATAGCTTAGAAAAAAACTACTTATACCTTTATCTCCTCTGTCTCCTGTAAAATACGAATATTAAAATATAATAAAATAATATAAATATGAAGAAATTTCGTTTTATATCCTCATGAATTCTTCCGTTTTCTGCTTTTCTCATGTCATAAAGTTAGTCACTTTTCTTTTGAGTGTCAATATTACTGTTATCTGTTGAATTATACGAAACACAAATTATATTCTACCTTCAAGCAGATTTCATAAGGAGTCATTGCCTCAACCTTTGGAATTTTTGGGTTTTATTGCTCTGCTGCTTTTCTTCTGAATTTGATCCAGCATTCTATCTGTTTTGATTCGAACGCCGTAAGTGAGTGTTATGTTGACAACACGCACGTCGGACGAACCAAATTATAAGCCTCTATAATATGTTGACAACATGCTCGTCGGACGAATCAAATTATAAGCCTCTATAATATGTTGAAAACACGCTCGTCGGACGAACCAAATTATAAGCCTTTATATATAATATGTTGACAACACGCTCGTCGGACGAATCAAATTACAAGCCTCTATTATATATTGCAAACAAGCGCGTCAGACGAACCAAATTATAAGCTTCTATAATATTTTGACAACAAGCGCGTCAGACAAACCAAATTTTAAGCCTCTATAAGGTATCGTTGATGATTTTTTTACACATATTATCAAGAAATGTGTCTGTTCTTTTTTATTTTATTTATTAATTCCCATTAATTCACTGTTCAATTCAAGAGAATGATATAAAATATTATGCACTCATTAAGATGTAATTGTCATGAACTTCACTGAATTAAAGTCGTTCCTTAATAACATATTCGTTTGTTTTATGTTGAATCTTAATTTTATCTCTGTTGAAATCATTCACATCTTGTCAATGATTGAAAGTGTGGTACATGTTTTGAATCGTTATTATAATTCACGGCTGTCATTCGGTTTATCGAGCAAAATGATCGTGAAAGAATAAGTAACGGTGGTCAAGTATTGCGATTTTATCGTGAAAGATCTGGTAAAGGATCGTGAATGAAATCTTATCGAGAAGCACATGCAACGTCAGTAAAAAATCTAATTTATTCAATTATAATGACAAATATTGAAAAAAATAAAACTGTCTGTCAAAATGGATAACATTATGATCATCCGAGAAAACAATCAAGTCTTAAAAGTACAACGTTTTTATAAAAGGCAGATTGCTCATCGAAATTTTAGAGAAATAAAAAATGTAAACAAACATGATTTTTTTCAAATTTTTCACTCATAAGCTTGTTTTCTCTCACAAATATCAGTCAATATTACTATTTAAAATAGTTCTTAAAAGAAAAAGGACTATGAAAGATATGTTGCCGTTTATTCGTTATTGCAAAAAAAAAATCCACGTAAACGATCAAATCTTTCCTTAAACAAATGTTAATTTATATTTGGAATTGGTATATCAAAAGATTGGATTTGCATGACTTATTCCGCTTCACTCTTGTTTGTGAATAGGGCTATAATGTTTCAATGCCATTGGATCTGATTATTTGATGATACCACACCGACTATTTTCTTATAACATATATAATTAATAGTCCGTCTATCCGTTCTGCATAAGTGTTATGTCGTTTGAAGTCAAAATTGTCTATTCTGATTTTCACCAATTTTCATGCACAGTTATATCTGTAAAAGAAGATCCTTGTTGATTTTTTTTACAAATTAGAAAAAAAAAACACTGTTGAAAAAACCGCAGGAAAACAACTGTGATTTTCCTGACTTGACAAATGCATTTTCCTAAGAAAATTATGAGTTAAATCTGGTTTTCTAGCTACCAAACGCCCACTCTTACGAAAGATGTTTAATGTTCCGTAATATTACGGTATATTAGGTGAGCAACCAAAACATACATAATTGTTTAATGTGGCCAAATCTGGGATCCAGCAGCCAAAATTGTGTTAACATGCAACACAGACATACAACACAGCTGAATTAAACGTTCACACACACTTACAATTAGATCAAACAAAGACAAAACGTGTTTGTAGTTTGAAAGTACAGTCAGTATAGTAAAGCATAATACCGGACCCCTTAATTGTCATGTACATATAAATATTTTCGTTTAACGGAGATTTAATCTGTTGCGCACCAGTTTGAAAAATCGCGCACTAGACTTTGAAATTTTCAGCTCAGGCTCTAACTGATAGCTCGTGCGCATGACTTTCAAACTGGCGCGCACGAATTTCAAAATGACTTTCAAAAATGGTGCGCACGACCAATTTTTAAAAGTTGTGCGCACCAGTTTTTAAATGTCTTGCGCACGAGGTTAAAAGTCGTTCGCACTAGTTTTAAAGTCGTGAGCATGAGTTTTAAAGTCGTTCGAAGGAGTTTAAAAGTCGCACGCACGATTTTTCAAACTAGTGCACACCAGATTAAATCTCCGGCAAACGAAAATATATTTATTTACATGATACTTAATGGGCTCCTTACATAATGACATATACACTTTCCCGACAAAATACAAAAAAGATAAAATATAAATACAAGGGTATACAAAATGAAAACAACAAAAACCTAATGTGTCCGAATCGCTTATCTGGACCCCCCCCCCCCCCCCATAAGGAACGCAAACAGCCAAAATCTGAAAGCTGGATGCACATATACCGAACCACGTCAAGAGGCATACGATCAAATGGAACATATTAGTGCAAAGACAACTTAAGGTAAAACTGTATAGTAGATAAAATGCTACACAGAATCAGCACCTAGAATATATAACCCAGGACCATCCTGTATTACTTGTTAAGTAGACACTGAATATTTATCAATTAGGTCTTGATACTTTCCAATGATTTTGTTAAGAAAAAGGACGAGACGTTCTTTCACAAAATCCTGGCTCATTAATTTTGCTCAGGGAATGAACACATTTTACAAACTCTGAAAAAATGCTGCAAGGTCCTGAAAATCGTATTAATTGAGAAATGTATACTCCATACGCTGATGAAGTTGATAAACCGCTGCCAAGGTGAGGAACAATTATAATTTCAAAATTAAAATTATCTCGCTTGTCAAAGACTCTGGTATTGAGATGACCACTGTAGTCACATTCGGGGTATATGTCTAAAAATGAGGCCGCGGAAGCTGTATACATGGTATATGTGGTGTCTGTTAAATCTAGTTCATGACTATTAATTGGACCCAATCAGACTGAAAATTTGTATTGTTAATGAAAAGAACATCTTCGATACACATGTATGTAAAATTAAATGATATATCTTCTATGACCCAACCCTTACGAAAACAAAAACGTACACATAAGTATATTTTCATGGGAAGACCACAAGATCCCATCTCGCTTCATTTGTTCGTGGATGCATTTAGCATTATATTTGTATATACAAAGATATTTACTTTTCCCCTGGAGGTCTATTACCTTGGGTATATATAAATTACAAAAAAAAATCAATTTACGTTCTTAGTAAGTAAATACACGCTTCAACCAATTACAAGTATATCAATGGGCGAAAGAAATGCTATGTTCTGATCATTAAGTCTGGTCAAGCCTTGTCGCAAATAATGCGTTAAATGATCTTTCACGATCATTTTTGATTAAAAATCAACAATATTATACTTTTCAAAAATAATATGAAATTTTTCAAGTAATTACATACTTTTATTTTACTGGACTATCTGACACAATAATAATTAATTTTCAAATATATCATGGCATATTGGAATTATAGTGCAAAACGTGATTTTTTCTTAATGGTTCGCATAGGATTGTGTGTCGCCTTGTGTGTTTTCTAAAAAAAGTACTGCATTTTTTCTTTAACTTGGTGCGCAGTATTATTGAGGAAGTTAAATCATTTTGACAGACATAATTTTTTTTTTCTGATTTGTTTTACCTTTTGAAAATACAGTAGATTTTTCACAGATTTTGAAGTAGAATTACACGTAATTGCATTCAAAATCTGATAGCAGATCTTTCACGATCCGATCGCAATGCTTAATCATCCTTAGTTATTTTTTCACGATCATTTTTCTCGATATACCGAATGACACCCGTGTAATTGAAGAACGTATGTCTTTGAAAAAGATTTATCGTTATAGGACTGAAATTGTGTTCTGCTTCAGCTGTCATTTTCTACGATAAAGAATAAATGAAACTTACCTTTGTCACCTTTATCTCCCTTTTCACCTGAAAATAATAACAATTGGTACGTTATTCACTAAGATTAAATCCCACGTTAATTGTAAAGCGATAAAGGCTAGCAAAAGTGTCTAGTAGCGAATTATTGTCAATAAAGAGCATTTAGGGAAATGTATAAATAATCTTTGTAAAATCAAAAATCAATTACAGGAAGCATGTTCAACTGACTATTTAGATAAGAAACCGACCAAGGCTTCTTGTATCAATCCTACCTTAATTTATTTGAGTTTAAAAAATTATTTTCGATTTTACGGAACAATGTAAGAGTTCTTGTGTTCAAAATACGTCCAAATGTGACAAAAGTAAAAACAAAAACATCAAGTCCGTAAATGCACGCAGGAATTTAAGAATGATGGTATGTTGGCGTTTGTTTTTGTTGCAGTTCAGTGTTTCTGTTGTTCCGTTGTTTTCCTCTTATAGTTGATGTGTTTCCGTCGGTTTAAGTTTGTAGAACGGATTTGTTTTCTCTCAATCGATTTTATGACTTTTGAACAGCGGTATACTACTGTTGCCTTTATCAATACATGATGACAAAAAAATCAAGACAAATAAGAAACTAATTTCTGAATTTACAGTATTAAAATCAAATAAATGGTCAAGTTCATATCAGCTCAAACTTTTGAACACGTTCAAAAACGGTCTCGGAGGAGTTGCGTGCACACAGTGTCATTGTGCCACAATTGTAAATCAATGGTCAAAGTCTCATAAAAATTGTCCAATCAAAATGATGGTATAGTGTGGTCGAGATAATAACATGGCAAATGTTTCTACAAAGAATAAAAGCTTTTTACTCGAATGGTCTGATTAGTGTAGTGATGCTGATGGACGGACAGAGGAATGTAGACTTTTCTATGTTTCTCACGGTGCGAGCGGCGAGGGACAAAACATCTTTAATATTAAAAAAAGCCAGATGTTTTCATAACTATATTGCATTCTACATTTCACGTAAAAGGGTGGTTAAAGTCGTACACATATCAGAATAAGTTTTGCATCTAATTTTTAAAATAAACAAAATAAAAATGAGGAGTTAAAATGTCAAGGGACATAACCTACCTTTTTGTGTTGGTTCAGCCACACAAACTGTAAGAAAAAAAATCAATAATTATTATGTTTATGACCTGCAGTGTCATGTCTTGATCTATACATGTCTCTAAATTTTGGATATTTGATAACTTTCTATAATGCATTTTACTGAATGAAGTTGACAGTTGTCCACGTAATTGGCAACTTTTGTGTTAGATAAAGTACACATCCAAAACGTTCGGGTGTAATTACATTTTGAAGGTACAAACAGTTGTTTATCTATAATACAAAATTAAATATTATAACTACGCCTCTTCTTAGTCATTAACGACTAAGGAGGGTAAATACAGATACTAGAAAAGTAACTTTCAACATGATACTGGACGGTTAATGTTTCGACGTTGTTCGATTATTAACACTAAAACTTTGAAAACTAGATTATATGTCAAAATTATCTACCGAATGTTTGTCGTTTAAAAAAAATCAATATCTTGTAAAGTTTTGTTCGTGCATTGCACTTGCAATTTGGCGGAATACATCATTAAACTTTTACAAGCGTATGAAACAGATGATCTCAAAAAGAATGAGGCCATAAGTTTAGAAATACAAACTCTACTGTTTCTCGTTTCTCGTTTTGTTTTTAGATTATACCGTTGGTTTTCCCGTTTGAATGGTTTCCCACTATTAATTTTTGGAGCCCTTTATAGCTTGCTGTACGGTGTGAGCCAAGGCTCCGTGATGAAGACCGTACTTTGACCTATAATGGTTTACTTTTATAAATTTTGACTTGAACGGAGAGTTGTCTCATTGGCACTCATACCACATCTTTTTATATCTATATATGTCAAAATTATTTATCGAATGTTTGTCGTTTAAAAAAAAATCAACATCTGGTAAAGTTTTGTTCGTGCATTGTTATCATGGTTATTACAATTTGGCGGAATACAACACTAAACCTTTACAAACGTATGAAACTGATGATCTCGCAAATAATGAGGCCACAAGTTTAGAAGTTTAGAAATACAAACTCTAGTGTTTCTCGTTTCTCGTTTTTTTATAGATTAGACCGTTGGTTTTCCCGTTTGAATGGTTTTACACTAGTAATTTTTGGGGCCCTGTATAGCTTGCTGTTCGGTGTGAGCAAAGGCTTCGTGTTGAAGACCGTACTTTGACCTGTAATTGTTTACTTTTATAAATTGTGAGTTGGATGGAGAGTTATCTTATTGGCACTCATACCAGATCTTCTTATATCTATCTAGAGGAATGGTATGATTGCCAATGAAAAAAAAACTATACATCAAGGACTAGAGGAGAAGGAGGTAAACAACTACGTGTTTGTTTTTGTTTATTTTTATACTTTAAAAAAATGTATCCCGTATTTGATCTTTTATGATTCCAATTTATTTTCTACAATAATGCAATCTCTTTTAAAAAGACACTTATTAATCAATAGTAATGTTAATTTTACTGATCGAATAAACCAGGAGTCGATATTTGTAAATTTTACAACTGAAGCATGTATGTGTGTCTTGGTTATGTGTACCCAAGAGTGACAGGAAAATGAAAGCATGGTCACTCATGGTCTTTTTCCGACCTGTAATAAGATCCTTGCCAAAGTTGAGCGTCCGTTTAGGTATGCGAGATGTATTAATTCGCAGCCACATCCGATCAGAATGTGGATGTTAAATCCGATACCTCTTGTAAAGAGAATCTGCAACAACTCTTTGAAGGTTCCATAAGTGGCCTGTTACTTAAATTTCTGTCCCTATCCAAAATACCCCCACTTTCCAGTGTCAACCCTATAACCTAACCCATTGTATTTATTTTTAATTTGTTCTTATCCTTGACATATATCAAATATTTTACACTGGACGTTAAGCAACCAACAATCAATCCGTCAATTAGTTTTTTTGTACAATTGTTGGTTACCTGTGGGATAAATCAATTGTTTGGTGTACTCTGTATCTTAGAAGTGGAGTTATGGAAATAAGTTGACAAGAATGTAATTCTCACCTTCACAAGCTATTCTCACAATCATATCTAGAAGACTATTTAACTTTTCAAATGAATCTGTTGTAAACACATATTCATCCTTAGACGCAATTTGCTGTAATTCAGCTAGGACGAACGTAGTACCAACTCCTATGGCTACAACAGTTACCCCGTCTTTTTTCAGTTTGTCAGCTTCTTGTTGTGGTACTTCAAGACCAGCATTATTTTTTCCATCAGTAAGAAGAATAACCAATTTCTGAACATCTGGCCTTCCTCCGCCATTTGAAGAAAGGAAACTGTTGTCTCTAACATACTGTAAATTAGTTTGAAGTGGTTTTAAAAAAATGTTTATTTAACTCCAGAAATTAATCGCGAACTAAATACAATACTTATTGATCAGGTTTACTTCAAACAAATCATTTTAATTACATTTTGTTACTTGATTCGACATACGACTGTATTTTTACGGTAATTTGGTTAATTGGCAGTTTAGACTAATTTATCGAGACACACATTTTACGTTTATCTCTATAGGGTCAGGCAATAAAATAAGAATTTCTCATTGTCCTAATCATGCTAATACTGACAGAAGAAAGTCAAATAAACAATATATCAAAAAAGCAATCACGTAGTCCATACAATATATTGATGCGTCTTGGTACATTACAAGTTCACGTAAATGTGCATTCCAATGCACTTTTTAAAATTATATAAATTTGAAATAGAAGAAATGTTATATCGCGTGCATAATTATTTCTCCTACTCATTACGTCGCAAGTATTTAGATAAATAAATACAAATACTTATTTATAATGTAGGAACAATTTAATTAATCTGATAGGTTAATTACATGGGTGTAAAAACCAGCCTACCCCAGCTTAACTATTTACACCGTGTATACAATTTTGCAAAAAATAATAAACATATTTGACATCGTGCAGCAAAATTGGGTTTTATTGAACGTGTAGTCGATTTTTTTCAATAGTTTTGTTTAATCTTTAATCCGAGTATAAAAATGAGTAAAAGAGCGCTTCCTGAGAAATAATTTCTTTATCTTGATGTAGAGTATATGAATTTCCATCACCATGTAAAATTTTGTACGCCCCTGATAACTCCAAGATAACGTTCTTAATTAGTTCTAACTGATAAAACATTTGCCACATTAAAAAAAAAAAAAAAAAAATGACCAACATACCATCAAAAAATATTTGGCGAAACTTTCCAAAATATGTTTGTTTTATTACTAAAATTAAAATATAAATTATTACAAAAGTCCAATAAAATATAGAAAAAATAAAAAGTAATACTTGATCAAGTGAATCAACATCGGTGTTAAAAAAATGTGTATATGAAGTTCTTTATAAGAATTTTTCAAAGTAGCACCCTAGTATAAAAACGAGTAAAGAAACGCTTCTGAAGAAATAAACTCGTTATCTTGGTGTAATAAGGGTTGTATATTACTGTCAACACCGGTGTACAATTCCGCTGCGCCTCAGGGTGTATGAATTTCGCTGCGTCTCAGTGAAACACCGATGTATAACTGTGTACACCCCTAATAACACCAAAATAACGAATAATATCATTTTAAATACGTAAAACCTTTAGTCCACTTCCAATTGCTGTAGCTCCTCCATGCGACGGTTGTATGCTCTGAATGCCCTGCTTAATGCCAGCATGTGTGCTGAAATCTTTTAGATCAAAATGACCTTGAACTCTATCAGAAAACATGACGGCACCAAACTGTGTTCCATCTGGACCAACTGTCGCGAATTTGTCGACGATGTTTTTCATAAACTCTTTCATCATTTGGAAGTTGTTTACATTGTCATGACTTATACTTGAGGAATCGTCAAAGAGGAATATTGCATCGGCATTAGCTTCGCATACGTCACCATCTGTCGATAAAGAAGTAAAATAATTAAGTAAAATTAGAGTTTATTCTATCGAATATTATGAATATGAATCTAAAAAACAGGTACTTATTATTATCAGATGGCACGTGAAAACACAATTCTGTTTTGTTTTATATCAGCGTAACAATATAACAGTGGTATTACAACTTTCTCACTATTTCGCTTTACGGTAAAGACGTACACTAAAGTTTACGCAATTTGTTGTTAAGTTTTCAACGTTTCATATTTTTCAAACTGCTAGTATTGGACGTATTTTATGAAAATATTTGAGGAAACTCTGGTTATGTAATCGGAAATCAAGAGTCTACGTTTGTTTTATTGGAGTTATTTCTTTCATTAAAGATACACATTCTCGCAATGAATTCTAGGTTTTTCATTTTATTGCAATGATCGAGTTTCTATATAGCCTTTTTACGTAATTAATATGACTTGTAGCTTGTGAAGAACACGAATGTCACCATCGGATCAGGAACCACAACTATTTATAATTTTTCTCCCTTATCTGATGGAGTAATATATAGATCTATTTAAATATAGGTCTTTGCTGGTGTCTCATTTTTATTGAATTGCAATATATGTATTTATTCTCTTTCTGTTATGGTAGAAATAACATTTCCGTTTCTTACTGTTCACTTCCATGGATAGATAAAATGTTGTATTAGTTTAACAGTTCGGCTGCGATTTTATGAATCTGTCGGACAATTTCGATGAGAACACTGAGTTTTCGGAATTGCTTTGGCGTAATTTATATGCATTATCTATTGTTAATAACTTCCAATACTTACTCATTCCATTATGCTCTAAAAAGAAAAGAAAAAGAAACATTTTGTTTATAGTTATGGTTTAACGGAGATTTACTTATAGTATATTAGTATTTCAAAATTAATCTTTTGCTCTTATTCCTTTAGTTGCAAATTGCATCATAAATGAAATGTACATTAAGACAGCGATTTGTTGATATGTAATATTGTTTCGATGTATTCCTACGTGTACCCAACTCTTTCATATCGGATAATCAGAACTGTTTGCTTCTCTGAGGCAAAATGATGAAATTAAAAAAAAAAAAAAAAGAAAAAAAAAAAAAACTGCATGATTTACCTCAAGAATTGACTTGGTATTATGGAAATGGTCGATATGACTCTCCTATCAAGTCGTTAAACCGATGGTAACGAAAGCGTTAATTTGGCTTTCCGGGATGAATAAACATGCAGCCACATTCGGTTGGAATGGGGATGATAAATATTATGCTAAGTGTAATGGAGAGAGTATCACGCTCTCTGATCGTTACATGACAGTTGCTTAACGAGCGCCCAGTACTGGTATCGCTAATCTCCTGCCCTGCGTTGTAGCAGGGGAAAATCATCAAAACAAATTAGAGATATTTCAATTACGCACGAACAAATGCATGTCATACAGAATTATTTTTCTATGCTAGTACAATATGTAATTATAACAAACTTCACTTAATTCTATTTTATTGTGCGTTTAGAAGGAGGTATTTTATTAATATTGGTTTCCCTAACTATATGTTGATAGAGTGCCACGCTATAATATTCCTCTGTGAAAGCTCTAGGAATAATAAATTTAGACTTAATTACTATTAGAAACTGTAATGTATTACTCAGTAATTTTAGATATTTTTTTTCTAGAATCCCATTATCACAGATTCAAGTTTAAATCACTTACTCTTATTTTTCTTCCCGTTTCCACCACCTGCAAAAAAGTAAAAAATGCATAACTCGCAACTTGTAAATAAAAATCAAATGAAACACAGACATATTAATGTGATGCCCGTTGGCGTAAAAACTTACTGTAATTCACTGTCTCAGAAATTGAAGAACTATAGTTAATTTAATTGATCAATCCCCTCTTTATTTGTTGAAGTTGTATTTTTCGGGATTCTTTGGGTTTTATTGCACGTTCTGTTCTAGAGAGGACTACCATGCATGTTTCAGATCCTGAACGGTGAATTTATTTACACCATATGCTTAGTTCTAATTCGTTGTTAAGGTTTACTTTTGGTCTGATTTGGTTTACTTTATTATGTAGACCTTTAACATTTATATTACACGGCCAGAAAAATACGGCACACGCAATGATTTTTTCCATTATTATTTGAGACAGTTTTGTGCAACTTAATATAATTCCCCAGTAAAACTGCATAGTACTAAACTGTACTACCGCTTACTTTTTGCTCTTATTCGATATTTCAAAAGGCTCCCATTTTTGCCAACAATTTTGAAAACTTTGATACGGTTTTCACTCCACCCTCCCAAGCAAGCAAACAAAAAAAAAAAAAAAAAAAAAAACCCAAAAAACTACCGTCAAACATCTATGCTTCCTCCTCCAGGCATAAAATTCTTTGAACATTATCAAAATAATACAAAACGAATACTGTATGTTCGCATTCAACGATAATTGCTGTGGGTGATATGAAAAGCGTATAAATAAAATAAAAGATGTTGTTTATTCTCCTTTAATTACATTTACATAATACACTTTTCACCACTTAAGTGGATTTATTGTACTAAGGATTGTAATCTTGTTTAAATAAAAAAATAGATAAAACAAAATATCCAGTGCTTTGCATTGCATTGGTAAGCATAAGTCATTATAGCATTTATTTAGCAACGTGCATTTTCAATTTTCCGACAAATCCAGCTGTTTTAAAATTAATCTTCACACTACATAGAAAAAGAAAAGAAGAAAAAGAAAATGTCAGATCACGTTATTTGTCTTTTACAACCTTCAAATATGTTATGCCGATCTCATGTCTGTTTCTCCTGTACACATGCCGAAGGGTTGAATGGGGTATAGAAATATGGTCATGCGACAATCAAACTTATGCTGAAGGAAACACATTTGGATATGGTGGATGTGTAAACATGTAAACACGTGCGGTCGGAGGTGGTTCGTTAAATCTGATGCTCGTGACGGGAGAGTACCACATTGTCCTCACGTAAATAAAACCATAGCAACATTCATTGAGAGTTTGTTAAAGCTCTGCTGCAATATAAGTTTCTGACCATATCCAACATACCCTCATTTCTTAAGACCGACTTAGCAGAACATTGGTATTATATAACGTTTTAATTTGGTCTCCTCCTCAATATGCTTGACTATTGGCCAATAAAAGTTATACAAAAAAAAAAAAAAACTTCTGTATACAGTTTGAAGAGAATATGTCTCAAAGATAAATGTCCTCTTTATTCAGTCCTCATAAATTACCAATTGCAAAGATAACAGAAACAATCACCGTAAACATACAGAAATACAGATAAATAATTGTTACAGTTCCTACTTATTGTAATAAATGAGAAAAAAAAAACAAAAAAACAAAAAAACAAACAGCAACACTGACTAATAAAGGCAACAGTAGTTTACTTTGTTCAATAGTCATAATTCGATTAAGCAAAACAAATCCGGGTAACAAACTAAAACTGAGGGAAACACATCAACTATAAGAACACAACAACGGAACAACAACAAAAGCTGAACTAGAACAAAAGCAAACGCCAACATACATAAAAACGAACTGTCTGATAACAACTGCCATATTCCTGACTTGGTACAGGACATTTTTAGAAAAATTGTGCTTATTGAGCCTAGTGGCGTGAACATAGATGAATAAACAATTTATGATAAGTATATGGTACTGAAGAGATGAGATTCTAGCATAAAACTGTGACAGAAGAAGAGATAAAAATTTCAAAGACACCAACACGCCTGGAACTAATGAGGACAGCTTAGAATAAGACACGGACACAAATGAAATGATATGTCAAAATATAATCACAAAAAAAATTGTAATGGAAATATAATTTTGGCTTATTTCAAGCTAATTGATTGTGCAAAACTCCAATTAGAACATTTAATTTCTTATTGGGTTGAAATTGAAAGATGACGCAAAAATCAAATGGTGACATTATCTGACATATGAATGAATCGAAGAAATTTTCGAAGCAAAGTTGGCGCCTCTAAAATTTGTCTGGGTTTATGAAAAATATTCACAAAGTATCACGGAGCGGACAAGAGCAGTTTTTATCAGGAGATGTCAGCTTCTCTTTCTTAATCTTCTTTTTTTACTTTACAACATATACCATTTTGATGGTATTCTCAAATTTGCAAACGGCGATTTGTACATTATATAAGGATTGTACAAAGAGGGCTGTGTTTTTTAAATGGGACATTTTCTCATGAGACATTGTCCAGGAGACATCACATACTAGGAGATAGTAAAAGACATAAATGTAGCATAATTTGACATTTTATTTCATATATTTCTTTGTGGCTTGAAGATTAAGACAGCTTTCCTTCTTAAATATATTATCCTGAAAATCGAAAAAACACCTTGTTTAGCATATGAATATTATAATGTATAATAAATTATTGCTAAACAATGCACCTCAAGCACTGAAATATTTTTATACATATCTTTACCTTAACAAGAATATAATACTAAGTAAAATAAAACAAAATCCAGAAGAGCGCGTCGGACGCACAATATTAATACAGTGTTATGTTCATCAATTAAGTGGTGAAAACTGTATCCCTTAATAGATGGAAAATAAACTGTATTATTTTACGTTTTTCCGTTTGCATTACACATAGAGCATGTTTCGTTGTGCGCGAGCATCATCCAGTATTGGTTTTGTATTAATAGCAATATCTATCATGAAATTCATGTCTGCATGGCTATTACATTGTATGCAGGACAAATAGATGTTTGACGGTGTTTGGGGTAAGTGGAAACCGTATTATTGAGATTATCTTTAAAACCCTACACAGGTTTAATAATTGAAATGTATACTTGTCGAGTATTAAGATTTGGACTTTAAAATGTTTTGGTTTTTAATAATACTGAAGAATACTTGTCAAAATACGCATCTGGTGAAGTAAAGTTGGTATCGTTAATCAAAACAATTTTCTGAATTCTCATTACCCCATTTAAATTGTCATTCCTCAACATAGAAATATAAATGTAATATTATAGATTCAAGATTTAAATTTGTTATTTTGATAAATTATACCTTCAAAGAAAATTTTTTAAATATTATTAAATATCCTCCTTGAAAAAATAGCGTAACTTCGAGGTTCAGCTCCAATGAAAATTAGATCTGAAATGACATTAGTATGATAAAGGTTTGCTTATATTAACAAAAATCAACCGTTGCATAAAAGCGATTAACAATGATTAACTAATTAACTAGCCCGAATAAGATGTAATACAAATTAGTTGTGTCGTTTGATTGCTGTCAAATAGACGTATATTCATAATATCTGTTTTGGAAGTTAAGTTAATAACAGTTTTTTAAACTCTAAAATTATATTAAACAATTCTTAACAGACGGCCAACTTAGAATCTCATTTTAACTGAAACTGCCACACAAAAACATGATTGAAACACTTAAAAATTTGTAGTAAATTTGTGTCCAGTCTTTTCAGATCTTTCAGGTCTAATTAGCCGTTTCTTACGACAGAGGCAGTCCGTATAATTGTGATACGTCAGTATTTTTGTTTATCTGAACAGTTGTGATTTAAAGTTTTTAAAGGGCATACAAATTCACTTTACAATTAATTCTCATTTAATTTTTAAATTTATTTATTATGAAGATGTATTGCCTGTGCAAACTTGACAGAGCCCGAAAAATATTTAAGCAATCAACATATCGCGTATTTATAGCACTATTTGTTTGTTTTTCTATTTGAGTTTTAGCTTATTTTAATATATGGTTTACCTGACCATGCACTCCAAGGCTTTGGTGTTGTTTTCGTCCAACTGGACCAAGGCGATGGTGTTGGAGTTCCTGTCCAACCGGACCAAGGCTTTGGTGTTGTTGTTGTCTTCGTCCAACTTGTCCAAGGCGATGGTGTTGGAGTTCCTGTCCATCCGGACCATGGCTTTGGTGTTGTTGTTGTTGTTGTCTTCGTCCAACTTGTCCAAGGCGATGGTGTTGGAGTTCCTGTCCATCCGGACCATGGCTTTGGTGTTGAAGTTCCTGACCAACTAGACCAAGGTGTAGGCGTTGGAGTTCCTGACCAACTAGACCAAGGGGCAGGCGTTGGAGTTCCTGACCAACTAGACCAGGGTGCCGGCGTAGGAGTTCCTGACCAACTAGACCATGGTGCTGGTGTTGGGGTGCCTGTCATAAGATATTAATATTCAAGAACACTCAAATCAAGACAGTTGGAAGGTCAAATTAAACACGATGTTGAAGAGATTTAAAAACTGAAAATTCCAAAATGTTGTGCCAAATAAAACTATGACAGTGTATACCTTAGGCTGTAAACCTTAGTGTTTCGAGTAAATCAACAATTAATTAAGACATTAAGAAAATTACAATTAAGTTAGTACATACAACCATACACATAAACATATATAGATACATACAACCATATAGAGCTGTAAAGAACTACTTTAGCCATTAAGTTGTTAGATATAGTAGGTAGAACTGTCCAAAAGTGTTCAAGGATAAAACTGCTCCCGTGTATTAGGCTTTATGAGAACTGATATAAAGACTGTGTAAGAACAGTTTCCATGAGAGATTGTGCGAGAGGTTAGACCTGATATAAACTGTATAATGACATCAATGGTATTAAAAAGGAGTTCCATAACCTATCAATAATTTTAACTTATTTTGTTCCTTTACTAATGCTCATCTGACTCAAAGTATTAATCTTAAATTCTAGATTTTTTTTATTTCACATTACTACATTCTTAAGGTGAATAACTGTTATAAGGGGTCATCTAATAGATTTGTTGGAAATTGGAAGTAGGTAGAGTTAAGACATAATCGATCAAGGTTTGGATTTATATTGATTTTACCAGGGGTTGTTCTTTTTATGCTAAATATATGTGACAACGAACGATAGCGAGGCATCAAAACATCGGAATACAGGGCTAATCAGCGGTTAATATAAATAAGAAGATGTGGTATGAGTGCCAATGAGACAACTATCGATCCAAGTCACAATGTGTAAAAAGTAAACAATTATAGGTCAATGTACGGCCTTCAACACGGAGCCTTGCCTCACACTGAACAGCAAGCTACATGTATATACATGTAATCCCTCATAAATTATCTATATTCTTATCACAGACTAATTTGTTTTGATCGAAGCTCTCTGGTTCAAAGCAACTATGTGCCATTCCCGTAATTAATACACACTACAGGTAAACATATTGACGTACAAGACGCAGACAAAACCGAGTAAGTGACATGCTTATACGATGTACCATAACTGGCGAGGTGAGGTTCAAGTCACAAGATTAGGAAAATGTAATTATTGTGTATGTTTCTGTCAGAAATGAAGTAATTAATCTTCTTTATATCTAATAATCATATTTCAAAATGGCACTGAGACAATTTTCACACTCGTGTATTTTTCCATACATACTTTTCCAATTCAGTTCTGTTTTAATGTCACAGTAAGAGACTATTTTTTAATGAAGTCATACGCTCTGGTTGAGGGCAAATATTTGCTGTTCCTATTATTGAACACACTATTTATATTGACGTACAAGACGGAGAAAACTAAATGTAGCTATATGCTTAAACGAGTTACAATAACATACTTATATAGAACAAGACATATTAGGATGAAGTGAAATGTTTATGAAAATGTAACTATTCTGTGTGTTTCTGCAAAAAAGACGAAATAGATCTTTCTTACATAAAACAACAAGTTAAAAGAATAGGTTGGATGTTTATTGCTTCCAACATGTATTTGTGTATGCAATCACAAATAAATACGATAGACCTAAATCGAGTTCATTTGTTGAAATACTTGAGTACAGATCAAATTAAAAAGATCTTATTTTTATCTAAGAACAGTGGTTTTCAACAATTTTGTATCATCGTTTGTTTATGCTTCAATGTTTTGGCGACTTTCACATTCGTGCAATTTCCCGTACAACATATAAAATATGTATCTTCGTACGTCACATTTAGAGCTAAACGTTTAATGATGTTATTTACACCTATTCACCTCGGGTAACTCATTTAGAAAAAGCTAACGACGTGGAAGTATGGTTAGAACACATTATTATGTTTCAGATAAGCTGACAGACTATATATATTTAAGCACGGGTATGCACGCAAACGTGTGTATAACGTCATATAAGAATTGGACATTGTTAGCAACTTTGTCCTTGTCTTACCTTATCTTTCTATTATAGTTTTCAAATTATTAAACAAGTAATGCATTTTACCCGCATGTAAAGTTCAGCTATGGTGGCCATGTTGGTTGATTGAGAAAAACACGTTACAAACCTTTGAAAACATTTAACGTCAACATTTGTCCATTTATATGTAAAACGTTAAACAAAACTCTGGTCAATGAAAAATATTTTGTAATAAGGAGAAAATAAATTGAAATTCATACTATCTTCCTGACACGATACTCAAATATCAAGCGTTCATATTAATCAGATTTTGAAAGAAATGACAGGGTCTGTTGTACATTGTGATTTCTCTGCGATAAAGACATGTTTCTGGCGTAGCGGAAGAATACAGAAGGAAGAAGATTGAATAATCAAATTTAAAAAGTGACGACATACTGTTATCCAGATTTAAGATCATTTCATATGGTTATATTTTTCAAACCATGTGTACCGTCCGTATCATATTTTATTTCAATGAACGAAATTCATGATGGAAATTTAGTAGTTACAAAAGTATATTATCTCCACCATATTTTGAAAAAAAAATACGTAATTCATATATTACAATGTGACAGATATGATATAAACTGAAAATTTAATTGCGGCAGGGACAATGGAAGTTTTATATATTAAAATTGGACGGAGAGAATAATAACATGTAAGTTATAGGTTCAATTGTGATGGAGATTATGTAAGTTACAAATTCAATTGTGGTGGAGATAATGTAAGTTAAAGGTTGAATTATGGCGGAGATACTTATAAGTTGCATAACGAGTTAAAATTGAATATCGCTTGATATCAACTCAAGTTATTTAATATCAAAATGTAAACAAACAAGCTTTTGGTGAGTATGTTATTACTATTTAATCATCCTGCTGCCGCTAATTTAATATGGTTGCATTTCATGTGCCAGAAAATACGACAGCTCGACGATTGTGACTGCAAATGCCCAACTATGACGTCATTGGATATGAAACGGTACGCCATTATGACGTTACGTTGGAGACCCATTGACGAAAAATATTACATTGTATAATCTTCGATAATTTTTTTGAAAGAGATACAGAAATGAACAAATGCTTGCATGAATTTGAATATGGATGTATGTGTTCCTCCGGCATAGCGGAAGAGGGTTAAGATAAATAACTAAAGTTGATCATGTTGATATCAAGTAATATCCAATTTTCACGAGTTGTTAAACATATTTCTCTATGACAAACATTCTCCTTATGTTACATTAAAATAAATCAGCGAATCGTTGATCAAGTCTTTTGCACATATCAACATAACGGTATATGTCATGTTCCGACATCAAACTTACAAATCAAACATTTGTAAACTTTTTATACATTTCAGAATAAAAAAAATAAGACAAAAAAAAAAGAAATTTTGTGAGAAAAGTGAATTTTTCTTTTATATATTATTAAAGAAATCACATACTTCTGTTGCCTTGGACGACGAGTGCATTGCCTTTACCTTTTAAAAATTACAGAACAGCCAATCAAAATCTAGCAGTATCGTTTCATTTTCCTGGATAAGCCAATTCAATTTTAGCAATTTTCGTATAAATTTTTCGTACCACACTCTGTCCAGTGTGACAGGAGAAATATTTTTGCATGCTTTAAATAGATAAGAAACCACAACCATAAGCGAATGTAAGTTAAATATTAAATTGTTGCGGGAGTTACAGTATATCAGTTATAGATTTAAAAGTGACGGAAATAATATCAATGTTAGTAGACATTCTAATTAAAAGCGATAAATGTGGATAGTCAGTTGCCATGGCAGGCATTGTAAAAAATTACTACCCCAACCTTTTGAAAATGAAGTTCTCAATTCCTTTAAAACTTCTAACTATAACAGACTCCTAAATATATCAGTAAACAATGGCCGATGAAGAGCTTCCGGCCACCTCTTTTTTTTAAATTCTATTTACAATCAAAGACGTATTCTGTAATTATTGAGTTATTCAAACATATGTTCCTTTTTAATTCTACATTCCATTTCCACACCATAAGACAACTAACATTATTTGTTCAATTTTACATAAACAGCTGGAGTATAATAGTTGAACATAAAACGAATAATATTGCTAATATACTTATACGTACCACTCCATCCCGACCATGACTTAGGATGTTTTACTAATTAAAACAAAAATCTAAATTAATTCCAGTTAAGGACATTTACATTTCCCTTTACAGTTATTATCACGTTTAGTTTAACATTATTGAAAAAAAATATTGTCATAATATACTAGTAAATTAAACGCGAGAGCATGTTTATTTGAGCAACTGACCTACTGACCGTTCTTGCATGACGCTTGACAGTCTATACATGTGAGTATGTTAGATTCAATATTTCAAGTTTAACCTGGTGTCGGTGCGAATTTATGCATCCCACAAAATCATCGGAACGCTAGAAATGTATGGATATGTCTTACTGTCGACATGCAGAAATCCGTGTGGCCATTTTTTTTTAACGACAACTATTTGTCAAAAATAACTGACATGTATAATACGGCTATAAGTTGTTTTAAAAGTACTTAATCTCGTCTGAAATTTTTATACAGCAAATCAACACAACCGGTATCCTATTCATTGTTTTCTGCTTTTAGTCCGGTTGAAACACTTTCAGTGATGTTCTGGACCGAAACAAATTAAACATAACATGATGAAACGACAGCTTATTTAAAGTAATGCATTACAGTAATATGCGGTCAGATACAGACAAATATTCTCCTTTTTCATTTAACACGTTTTTTTCAATTATATTTCGAGATGAGAATATTTTCAATGTTGAAAATATACAAAAAAGATAGTAAAGAATATAAATTTACAACTACTCACAAAGGGCAATAGCTGTTCCGGTCAGAACACTGAGGACCGATCCTATTATCAGAAACCTGTCCATGTTTTACTATACTGATAGCTACAAACAAAAAACCCTCGCTTTTTGTTATAACTGAGGTCAAAGTTCAGCAAGCTTCCGTCAGAGATAATGTCCATTTGCATACTAATGGGAGATTACGACAAACATTATAATGGATAACGCAACAGTTGTTTATGTTGCTAATAATACCGGCTTTACATTCATTTTTTACAGTGCACAAAAGATCACACAATTCGTGATATTTAATACCCTTTGCATTTTATAGTATTTCCTTATGAGAGTATTACCCTATACTACAATAAAAAAATATGTCTCTATTATGTAAATATCGAATTTAATTTCAAAAAAGGATTATTTATTTATTCGCATATTGTATTTCTTAAAAGAAAAGTCTTAATCTGTAAAAAAAAATCAGATTTTATAGTTTTTTCGTCTTTCCCTACTTGTTGTCTTATCAAATTTGGAAGATATGGATATTACCATGATAACAGTTTTGGTCTTTATAACTGTCCAGATGACGGAGAATCCAAAGATAAAAAAGGGACAATCAAACTCATTAAACGAAAGCAAAAAGACAAGGAAATGGCAAAACCCCAAAAGGGAAACCACAGCATATAAAACATAACGCAGAAAACCAAAGACTGAGCAACACGAACCCCACCAAAACCGGGGTGAGGGAAGTTTGGGGTTGGCGGATCGATGGGATCCTAGCTACTCCTGAAATGTTATCAGATCCTGCTCTACACCGCTGTGTTACTCCTATTACACATGTTGATAAGCTATATTAAGCGATAAGACATCACACAGTGGCGGATAAGTAATCAACTCTTAGTTTACCTTGAGGTATGATCAAATTCGTAAACCATCGGTAAAGTCAATTTTCTAACCCTGCAAAACGGCATAAAAAATAAAAAAGCACAACAATCATTACTTATAACTAAAGCAATAGCACACCCCATTTAAATCAAAACTAGCGGTTATTTCAGAATATACGAAATATTTGTCAACAAGGTCTTGGTATCTTCCAATGTACATTTTTAGAAAAAGGACGAGACGTTCTTTGACATTACCTTGGCACATCAACGTTCTGCTCTGACACTGGTGACGTTTTATAAGTCTGAGTAGCAGCTGGAAGCTCTTAAATACCGAATGAGTTGGGAAATGTATATCACATAAACAGCTGAAGTTGGTATATTGCTGCTAAGGTTCGGGAAATTTATGATTTAAAAATTAAAATCGTCTCGTTTATTATATATTGTGGTAATGAGATGACCGCTTATGTCAAATTCGAGGTATTAATCTAAAAATGAGAAAGAGGAAGCCGTGGCTGTTGATACTTTAATTTCTACTTCTGGAGGAAATATTAATGGAACCAAATCAGAAAAGTTTGGATTATTAATGAAAAGAACATCATCAATATATCTGAATATAAAATTAAATGATCTAGCTTCTTTGATCATCTTGTTTTTGACTAGTGTCTGAAGGAACTCTGACTCATATGAAAATAAGAAGAGTTCGGAAAGGAGAGGCGCACAGTTCGTTTCCATAGGAATGCCGACAAATAGTTGCAAAATCTACCACCAAATTCAACAAATATGTTGTCAATAAAAAACTCCAGCAAACTGATCACTTGTTCCTCTGTGTCGTATGTGTTACCTTTTTAACCACCTTTAATAAAATATGCTGTTTGGTATCCCAAAGTAAAAAAAATATAGCGTATGCTACCATTTTTATATTGAAAGTCATTGTGGATTATTTCTTTTAGGCGATTTTCAAATTTCACTTGGGGAATGGTGTTATATAGGGTTGAAAAATCAAAAGTTTTGATAGAATTAATTTCAGAGATAGATCTAGATTTGAAATTATCAAGAAGTTCTTTAGAGTTTTTTAGAATGCAAATATTGTTAATACTATTACGCGAATAAACAGTTTCTATTATTTCTGAAGACCCTCTTTCACTGCGGACAGAATTTTTGTCAATCTAATAAACAACTCCTTTATAGAACATGCAGATGAGCCGGCAATGTACCGTTGATTGTACGGGATTTTGTGGAGCTTAGATATCCAATACAAACAAGGGAAGTCCTTAGATTTGCTGTTTAATGTAATGTTCATTGAAGCCATGAAGGACTTGTGATTCGTCAAAATCTCATCCTTGTCAAATGATATGTGTGTGTATGTGGGATTAGCTGAGTGCTCATTTATTTCTAATTGTTTAACACTCGTAGTAGTATGATTTACATACAAAGACAATGTTATTTGAAGCTTTGTCCGCAGGAACATGTATTTATCGTGAGGAGATGATACACATTAGTCAATAGATCCTACTCTTAATATGGCACCTGTATTGTTATACAAATCTGGTGACAACTTTTGTTTTAAGATATACAAATAAGGAGACGTGGTGTGATCTCCAACGAAACAACTATCAACAAGATACCAAATGACGTGGAATTAATCAACTACAGATAATCAACAATAATCAAAGCCCATACTTTTTCATGAGCTATTAAAGACCACGGTTGACAAAATGTAAAACAAGTATATCCTGACAAAAATTAAGGACACCCAAGCTGATCTTTTTAAGACGTGAGAACAAGTATATTTGTCTCATTATGGTGATATGGAATTAATTGTTGTTATTAAATATCGAGTAGTGTCGGATTAGTCATGATTGACTATATGTGTTATGTAAAAAGTATGCGTTAAACTTACTTACATTGCATTTGTTTTAAATAAATAAAATATAATCAGTATGTATTGCTATACAGTCAATATAACCATTTATTGGCCTACATCAACGCGATACTTGTATTTCAATAACTGTGAGTACTCTTATATTGGTGGTTCGTACATGTCTTTTACCATTTGGTTAGTTTGTTTGTGTGCTTCGTTTCTATTACGAGACATGCAATTTCAAACTGATTTTTACACTTCGTTCTTATGCATTTCTGATACACATCTACCATATGTTAAGTGAGGGTTGGAATCTCGGAAACTTATCAACACCGCACGCAGATATTGTTTTGATAATAATTGAAGTTAGCATCGTAAAAGATAACCTTGAGTAAAAACTCAAACAATAAAACCAATAGACTGGTTTTGTTCATGATAATAGAACAAACGAACAACAGATATATAAGATAGCAAACGACAACCTTTGAAATACAGGTTACTGATTTGGGACAGGTACATACATAATGATGTGAGTTAAACATCTGTGCAAGCGCTCAACCCTCCCCTAACCTAGGACAGGGATTATAACAACACAGCATAAGAACATTGTAAAATCTATCGAAAAGGACTTAACCTGTCAGATTGGCTCGAAGCACAAAAAAAAAAAAAAAATGACAAAAATCCCAAAGTACTCGAAGAGTACTGGCTGTTACAGAAATTTAGGAGTATAGTATTTGTTGGCAAAACATGTTAGATATAACTTAAAGAAGTTTAATTTCACGTGAAATAATTACAAGGTTTGGAATCGCATCTGACAGTTAAGTAATCTATTTTCCTTTTTTAAAAACAGATCCAACAGAGTTAAAAGATAAAATAGAAAGACTGCAATCGCCACTGTATACAAGTGACAGCCTTAGCTAGCTATAAAACTAGGTTTAATCCACTTTTTTCTATTTAATGAAATGAATGTACCAAGTCAGGAATATGACAGTTGTTTTCAATTTGTATGAGCTTTTAATTTTGCTATTTAGTAAAGGACTTTTCGTTTTGAATTTTCCTCGTTCGGTATTTTTTTGGTTTTTTGGTTATTTATATGAAGGCATACCAGGAGACGCTTACTCCGTCAACGGAACATGTCTCACTTCCTTGGAGTTTTTGTGATTCAATCAGGCAATGTCTCCTAATCTGATATGTCTTCAAAGTCGATTTGTAAGATCTGAACTTCGGTTTACTTTAATTGTCTTAATTAAAACGTCCGGGATAAAACATACTCAGCCATTTTCGAAACCACGACCTCCGCACTCGAGTCAAACACGGGCGAACACACTACCACGATACCATCGATACAGTTACACTCTAAATGAAAGATACTCAAATAAACGTTATTAAATTGTAGAGCGTATATCACTCTTCGTTTTTCATTTACGTCAATACTCTTTTAAAATGTAAATTAATTTTGAAAATAAGATGTTGGATTGCAATGAGACACCTCTCCACCTGAGACCAAATGCCATTTAAATAAAAAAAAAAATTATAGGTCACCGTACGGCCTTCAACAACGAGACCAAAAGTCTAACTAACAAAAAAGTTGACTCTTAATCGTGATTTCAGACGAGTCTAAAAATAATAAATACATATATAAAATTGCAACCTGAAACAAGTCTTCAAAAAATAATTAAAAAAAAAAAAAAAAAAAAACACAAATCAACCACCTTAAAGAACACACAAGCCAGAAGATGATACATATTCCGACAATGATGATATAAATCAATATATTAAAAATCATTAAAAAATAACCATTTGAAATGTCATAAACCATACTTTTATATTCAAGTCCGTGTCACTTAATCTTTATTGCCAGGAAAATGTTTGAATTATTATATATTTATAGCTAATGTGCATAAAAATCTTCTTAACACGTAATATTGTTTCTAATTTAGCATATTAAATGGCGTAAAGTAATAAACGGCTACGAAATAGTTTAAATCTTAACTATACGAACTCGTTAATCAGATTTTAAGTTCTAACAGAAATGTAAAAAACAGAGAATATTTTTGCGATTAACTCTCGCAGATTTGCATATGATTCATTATAACATTCCAAAGCAAACAGGTATACAATGTATAATATTGAACCTCGTACGAGCTACAGAGAACTTTAAAAAAGACTTACACATAACATTATGCAGAATTAGAAATTAAATATACATGTGGGAGGATAAGCTACACAATGTTCGTATAAAATTAGGTTTAAAATCGGAAAATGCATATACTATTCGTTTCGTTAATTGATGCTGTCTAAAGTTTGATTTTGTCAGTTTTTATGCACTTTCCTATTTATGAATTTACCTTGGAGTTCGGTATTTTTGTTAATACATTTTTATTAT